TTCACACACAGGGGATGCTCGATGGATGGATTCCTTGTGATCTTCATTGTTTAACCTTCATGACACGATTCGTGGTTCACCCTGTGACACATTGACCACGATTCGTGGTTCACCCTGTATACAGCACGTGCAAGAAGCATCGTATCGCTTAATTAGCAGAATCAAGCGCATCGTTCTTTCTCGGTTCTTCGTTAATCAGCCCTCGAATCGAACTGTCTGGACGGGTTCCCTCGCGAGGGTTAACGTTCCTATCCAACGTTTCACGTCGGAATCACGCCTATACACCCGCGAGCGGGAAGATTGATTTCGCACGGTGTCGATTCAGAGAAAGGATCGAGCGTCGATCGAACAGCTCTGGCTGGCTGGCAATTCTCTCTGTCTCTCTCTCTATGCCGCGTACTGGTTTATCCGCGTGGCATTAACGAGAACGTTATTAACGAGGGGCGTGATGCAGCGACGCGCCTCGACGCACCACCGAACGGCGAACGAATGTATACAGTGAGAGTCAAAAGTCGAGTATACACGAAAGTATAGCACAGGCGTCGGCAACCTATGACCCACCAAATAACCCATTTGATAATTTCAAATGACCCGCTTGAGTTCCGCAAATAAAGTATAACGTATAAAAATAAATTATAAAACATACACATGAAACAAACACTTTGAGAAAATATAAATAATTAGTCAGATTTATTTCTCTCAATTTAGAATTTAATATTTTTCACTGATGCTCCTTTACATTGATATCTGGTGACTGTGGATTACTACCACACGTTTGTCAGATGTACCGTTAATTTTGAGTCTCACTGTACATACTCGTACGAAACGTGGCTGAAAATTAAACGGGTCCGCAGCACTGGTTGCATCACGAGGAACAACGACGCACTGGGGATACGATGCTGCCCCCAGAAGGGCCACTTTACTCTCAGGTAATAATCGTCGACGAGCTCTCTCTCTCTATCTCTCCTCTGGTTACAAATTACAATTCCGTGAGAAGAATCACGACGGTAGAACCCGCCACCGCCGTCTGGGGTACAAGGCGCTTCGTGACGATTAATGGTAACCGGCTTCATATCCTAGCACACGACTCGTTACCGCTAATTCGAATGTATTATACCAAGTGGTTCACTGTGACGACAAACAGGGGGGTGCTAGGGGTGTGTCTGGTAAGTAGTAATAAACGGGAATGTTGGATAATTTACCACCAAGTGAGGATGTTACGCCGTTGATGCATGAGCAACGTCGGGACAGGTTGCCTCCGCTGCTTTATGTATTTTCCACTCGCGTGCAAAAAAGTTCGGAAGTTAATCGAGATCAACGAGTTCACGGGGGGGCCGTGGAATCGAGCACACACAAACACACAGAGCTGACTCGCTTGAATTCACACCGGATGCAACGTATACTTTGCTAAGCGGATTTTAACCCTTTCGTTAGTAAGGGTGGCTATTGGCATCTAACGGCTCGCTGGAGCGTACCGAAGGTAGTTATATAGTCGTCCATTGGTTGCACGGTTCTTGTGTCCTAAAGGTGACTATAGTCACCAGTCGAAATTACGTTAGTTGAGATTTTACGTAATTTTGATTAATTGCACTAAGTCGGTAACTAGACTGCGGATTATATGCATTTATAGCCTACACATCGGATCTAATATATTTCCTGTCTTATTCTTCTAATAATAAAATCATTAAGAAATGAAAGAAAATTCAAGCTTCACACCTGCCTTTACAAATCACTTAAAAGATTGTTATTTTCCATAAAGTTCCACAGTCTAGTTATGACTTTAGAAATCTATGTTAAACTGGACATATTATAAAAAAAATTCATCTAGATAAATAAATTTACCATGCACCTGATCGTGTACCTCTAAATGTCACGCCCACTCGAGGATTAATGAGAATACAAAATTGCATTAATTACTGCATAAAAAAAATTTTTGTTTAATATATTTATAAAATCCCCCCTCGCTGTAATCACACCCGCTCGAATATATCCGATCGTTGCTCAGTTTCCAATCACGAGGGGCCATCGCACGCCATCGATAATGCACCCCTGGCTCCGACCTTCGGGACGGTATACAGATTCGCGCGCGTTTACACTCGGCGGAAGTGTCGTGTCTCTCGCGTTTATACATATTAATTAGGGGTGCATGGTGTGGAGGGTGAGGGGCAGCAGGAGGCTTCTGCATAGTCATTGGACATCGGCACTACTACCCCAGGCTGAACTTGCAACTCGCAAAAGCTCGCCACCGTCGCCTTTATTAAGGTGATCGATCCAGGGAAGGGGGCGGGGTGGGGAGGAGGATGGAAAAAGCTCACTGTCCCACTCTATCTCTATCATCAACACGCACACACACCGCCCCGACATCCATCGTAACCATCGGTCCCGTGGTCGTCGGTCCCCAAGATGCCAATCTCGACACCCGACGTAATTTCTACCCGTCCCCTCGACCACCCCACGAACGATCGACTTTTCATTAAGATACGAGACCACCTTGGTCGAAGGATGCGGTTCTCCCTCCTTCGTCGTCGTTGCTGCTTTCTATACAAGATCAACCGTAGTAGGATCATGGTTAGATGCACGGGAAGGGGCGAATCAAGAAGCATTTCATAAGGGGGGGGGGACAAATCCAAGAGCCTTTCTTGAGGGCGGCGAAAGGTGAAAAAGTTCATACGTACATTTTTTTTAACCATCTTTTATAATATTTTCATATTTTATTATTCTTGGGAGGGGGGCGATCACCCCTATCTCCCCACTCTGGATCTGTCACTAATGCGAGAAGGTGCTTTAGCAAGGTACCCTTAGGAACAAACTCGGCTTCCGCTAAAGAAAAAAGTGATGTAAGGGAAAGACCTCCTACCACTTGGTTTTGGTGTTACTAAAATTTCTGCTGAATTAACCTTCCGTTTAACATTTATTTCGGTACTTGTATTAAATCTACCAAGTGGTATGCGACCCTTCAACTACGCTACTTTTTCCCCTAATGGAAGGCAAGTTTGCAGAGAGAGAGAGAGAGAGAAAGAGACAGACGACCGTGTGCTGGAACGCTATACATATACGTCTTCTGGCGGGTTAGCTCGATTTAGGTCGCGATTAAAGACTCTTCATCATCACCGAAGGCTGTGCCACCCTGCTGTACTCCGTACATCTATACCTCTCAGGGCAAAGGCTCCTCTCTTTCACATTCTCTCGTGTATACCAACCTCCGGTAACTCGATAATGCATCCACTCGAACCTGCACACCGCCATCACCGCCATATAATGAGAGGTTCAAGACGTCGCACGAGAACGGGTACTTAAGAATGGAATAGAGGACGAAAAAAAGACGAGCGTATTACTAATCCCCGAGAGTTTGCGGCGTGGGCGGCGAGCCGTGTGAAAGGCTCGAGGTTCGGATTAATAAAATGCACCGGCCCCTTCTGTCTCTTTCTCTGTGTGTCAACTGTTTCTTTTTAATGGCGCCAAGGGATTAGCGTGGCCGCTTTCTTTCGTTCCCAACCCCTTCGCCGCTGGAGAGACAGAACATTTTCCTGGGTGCGCGCTTAAACAGCGAAACGGCCCTTTAAATAGATGCTAATTTGTATTCTAATTCACTCAGAACTCTCTAGGACCTCGTAGGTTCGTAGCTTCTTCCTCTAAATAAAGAAGGGATTAAGGTTGCTTTATACTGTACGTACAGACACGGAACGGTCACGGGACGGTTCAGTTCAGACAAAGACACTTGACGTTTATATGTGTATAACCACGATGGCCAAACTTAGGCACAATACTATACTATAAGTCCAAGAGAAAAACCACCAGTATTTGTTAAGGTGAACTATTTTATTAATAAAAAGAAACATATACCTAAAAGTATACAAATTTGATTATTTAGTTACATTCACTTAAATGGAAAAGTGGATGAACAAAAAGTGTGGTGTTGCGCTTCATTTAGAAGAATCTTTTCAGATCTACCATACTCAACAATCATAAAAGGGTATATAATTTCATAGTTATTTATTACACTGATGCGCCACGGCAACGAGCACACTAATGTTAATTTAAATACGATTTCTCGATCACCTCCGACGGTATTTAAATACGACACGAATAGGTTAACACGTTGACTGCTGCAGTGAAAAGGACTGTACGTAGCCAAACACGCGTTATTTCGTTTTTTACGCCATTAATCGTCGAAAACGTATACGTTCAGTTAACAGAATCTGTTTTATTTTAAATTACATCACGATATTAAATTCACGTAAAACTTTTCTAACGGTATTTAAATAATCCAGCGTCTCTTCAATGTACGTGTGACGTGGCAGTCAAAGTGTTAGAGAATATGTGTCTGAACGAACACTATAAACCAGCCTTTATACGATGAACCAGAGCTCTCTCCGCCCGCGTCGCTATTCTTCACCGGTTCGTTTTTAAGAGCCGCTTCACCCCCATCCGCCACGTTTGCCCCTGTCCCGGAAACTTTTCGAAATCCGATTACGTTCTACCTGGCCGAATAACCGTCTGATAAACGAGCAATCGATGACAATGATCGATATTCAATGCGTTCCGCTAGCCTTTAGAGTGGATGTGCCAGGTAGGGGAAGGGGGATGAAAAGTGAATCGTTGAATTGTCGAGTTCTTTCACCGAGATCGAGTTCCCGGAAATATTGTAGAAAATATCGTACGAACCGAGCCCGCCAAACCATCCCCGAATCGTCTCATGGAAATACCTCCCCCCACCTTCTCCCCATCTGGCCGATAAGGGTGCACTCGAGAGGTTGGTTTCATTCCCGCAAAAATATCATTTCATTCGAACGCACTGCTGCTTGCTCTACCTTCTCCGATGTCGGGCCAAAGAATAATTACATCTTGAAAAAAGCTCCCTAACTATTATCGCCGCTTCAAAGTTCTCGGGAACTATTTGCCTGTCTTTTTCTCTCTCGGTCAGAAATGATTTAAGAGGAGAATAATATATTTCTTTCTTCCTACACCACCTATCACCACGATTGGTCGTCTGTCCGCAGGTTCACATTAATCTGGGCGCTGGGGAGAGCGAGATGGCCAGCGCTCGCGGGCTAACGTTGAACGACCTGAGCTGGCACGAGGTCAACCTGACCAGGCGAGACGCCAACATCACGTTACGGATCGACGTGATACACACGACCAGGTCCCTTCTGCCGGGACGTTTCTTCGAGCTGAACATACACTACGGCGTCTTCATCGGGGGACAGGGTGACTTCAACGAGCTATTTCTAGGTAAGACGACCTCTCTCGCCACTCTATACAAGGTGATTCACGAAGTAACAGAACGCCCAAGTATCTCTGTTAGGATCAGAGACTTCTACCGAAACGTAAAATACCGGTATTATCGGTTGAACGTTCACCCTGTATAACCCTATATAAGCCCTACCCTTATAGAAACCGAAAAAATACAGGTATTTATTTCGGTGTTCGGTAATATATCGGTTTCGGTATAGCTTTGATGGTATAATACCTGTATCAAAAAAACTTCATAGCAAAATTGCTGATATCAAAGCGACTTCAAGGATATAGGAAACTATATGAACTGGATTAAAAATTTATGGTAATTGAATCAATCTTTCGAAAGTAAAAGAATACACGGTGCCATTTAAAAAACCATCGTTGACCATGTAAAACATCTTGAAGATAACAACAATCACAAGATCTGTTTATCATCATACTTACTCCCTTGGATAGAATATACCACTTCCCCCTTTAACATTTTCTCCTATCTTTAATTCTAATAGAGATACTCAGGTGTTCTGTTTCTTGTAAATCACCCTGTATATCTCTGTGTGTGTGTATGTATCCCAGTGGCTTGACTCACCCGGATAAATCGTCCCGCCACGTGACCCCGTACTAGCTCTGACGGCGCCATGGCTACCCGGACGAGTCACTAACAAAAACCACGTGCAGCTATGCACGGCCTTCTGTGTTCAGCCGCTTCGAGTCTCTATCTCTATCTCCGTTCATCCGTTTTTCTTCGAGCTCTTCGTGCTTTGATTCGTAACTACGGTTGTCACTCCTGTCGTTTCACGTTCAAATTGTTGTGTTCCGTTGACTGGTTGATTTATATTTAAAACTCACACAGTGCCAAGCACACGGAGGAACACTAAACAGAAATACCCTCGAAGACCATACTGGTAACCCAGTCCGTACGAAAGATACCTGACACTTTCTGAAGGATAAAGGATTAAGAATTTAGGGCTGTGGTGTTTTATCAAAAGATTCGTGACTAAATTACTTATATAGTTGAGATACATAATAGAAAGAACGATCTAGGTTACGCTAATCCACGTATGGTCGAATCGGTAGGATAATATACAGTAAATCCTCGATGAATGTTCGATGGCTCCTCGGCACTGACAAGGGGAGGTCTCCAAGTGTAACACTGATTTAAAAAATTTTTTAATATAATTAAAAAAACTTTTTAATGTTTAGTGCCGAGGAGCCTTCGAACACTCATCGAGGATTTACTGTACCAAGTATGCCATCTCTGATATTTCTACAGAAAAGGATAAATTATATTCCTTAGATAAAAAATGTTTTTTTTTTCTTTTTAACCACAATAAATAAGGATTGCAAATGTTAACGCGGTTTTGTAGTTATGCCACGCAGTGTATAGACCCCCTAATCGACGGGAATTGAAATAGAAAAACAATGTAGGCACGGCTCGATAAGAAATATATTTCATCGGTGTGCTCGAGCGGAATCGGAGAGGATTCGAGGCGATTCCAAGCGGAGAGAGAGAGAGAGGCGTCCTCCCCCAAGTGTCCCTGGGTGAGCGTTAGAAAAATTCATATTTTCGCAACGGGGGAAAACCGGATTATAACAGAAGGGGAAACGAGACGGAGGCACACACGCGTTACGGTGATCTCACACACACCCGGCCACGGGTCGGGGCGCAACAAGAGGTTCAGAATATTCGTTTTGTTTTCCTTTCTCTATTTTTTTTTGTTACGGCGTAACACCCACTCTATTGCCAGGATTTTCTCGCGGTACAATAGAAACAAGAGGTGCCGCCCGGTGGTTCGTGTCTGTTTCCGCGCGAGGTATCGGTTTAAGCTGCATCTGCACTATACAGGGTGAGACACTTGATTGTGCCAAATAAATTTACTCGAACTACTTGTCATATAAAAAGTAGAAAGAAAAATGTTACATAACATGATGTTGTAATACGATGTTGCATAACCATTTTTCGTGTTATAAAACAAGTCGTACGTTATCCATCAAGTGTAACGCCATTATTAATAATGACATGCAAAATATTATACAAACTTGTTTCAGACTCGTCCAGAAGATTTACTATAATGACTAGATACGATTATTTCATCGCCCCGTGATTAACCCTGAATAATCGTTACTCGTTTATTGCCGCTATAGTTATCTGTGCAATGAAGAATAGACAATTAAAAAAAAATAGAAAAGGAATTCAAATACGAATAAATAAACCAAAACAAACAAACTCTTCGTTATCGGAAAGTGGGTGGGACAAAAAAAATTGGTAACAACACCGTTATATCCAGATCGACTGACCAGTATCCACCGACGTCTGGCCATTGACGTATTATTTAGTGCGTGTCAGGCGAGATATTTACTCCATCCATCACATCGAACACAGGTGGGGGGGGGGGGCATCGCTAACGGTCATCGAGCAAGATTAGCACAGGAGAATATACACCGATACAGTCTCCCGCAGCAACGGCAGCTGGTCCTTCCACTTCTGGACCCCGATTTCTCGCAATTGACAGTTCAATTATCGATCTCCCATGAACACACTCTAGGAGCCGTCAACCGAGGATACTTGTCCGAAAGATACAGAGACCAGTTGCAACGGTTCGAAGCGAGATCCCCTAGCAAGAGAAAGAGAGGCACAATTCGGAAACTAAAAGCCGCTGAATTCCAGTGTCGTCCCTGTCAGCTTCACTTTACCACTGTCGGGCGCGGGCATGCAACGTGGCACAGCGAACGAAGCATAATGAAGCGTTTCGATTCTCGGTGGAATAAGAACGGGGCGTGTGTATGTTTTCTCGGAACTTCCTCAGACGTGTCCCTCTTATCTTTGAGGGGTTGCACGACGTCACAATTACCCCTACACTGCCATTCCACACCTACGTGTCTTGTCTTTACCAACGGGTGAAGCAACACACACGACTATACAGTAATATAAATAATATATTTAAAATGTTCATTAACCCTTTCCACCCCCTTCCTTTCATATGCTCGTTGTCCCTCCCTCTCTTTCTCTCTCACGACCAGGTGCGCAAGTATGTAGAACCAAGGTATGCGTGATTACGGTTGCTTTACGAGGTTGGATGAGGAACACAGCCCTCGTAGAGGGTTGGAGGAGGCGTACAGTAATAATTTTTCCACAAGCACGGTCGGAATGATATACACAGCTACGGAATAAAAAGCAAAAATTCATCGGCAAGGTGGAAGGGCGAGGGAGCTGACGCTCACCAAATTGAATACGATCAGTACAAACACAAGGTCGCGCAGGTTACACCACCCTCCCCCTCACCGCCGTTATCCCCTTCGAGCATCTAGCGCAACGCGCTCGGCGACCAGCTCGAAATTCAATTTACATATTCATGACAATTCATTTGTACCCCATGGTACGACATGGCCCCCTCCTCCCACCTCGAGGACCTCTTATTAATTCCTGCAACGAAGCTGGACCGAAAGAATTCTTCCCCCATTTTTGTGGTACAGAAACTACACGATTACGTACATGCGACTGTCCGTTAATAAATTGAATAGTGGGGGCAGGATAACAGGGATGAAACGGAACAAGGTAATTCAACAAATTACGAAGGAATCATTCCTAACGGGTGTTCATCCAGCGGGCAGTTATCGCGAGTTTACTGTATCGCGCGACCAGAACGCGCGCACATGAAATTACACAATTTCCGCGAGTTCGTGTCCGCCTGGGAAAAAAGTGTGTACGTACTTTGTCTTTGAGATCCCTGGGCATAAGTTTCCTTTATCGAATGACGTTTCCACGACTACGCGGAACTACAGAGAGAGAATTTTCCCCTTCCTCCAACGCCCACTAGACACACACTGAACACCAAGTCGAAATCAATAAAACTATATATATATATATATATATATACACATAAAAACACACACCACCAAGATGTCGGTGTCAATGTTCTATCGCGAAACATTCGATCACAGTAACGTCCAAATAAATCGAAACGGTCTTGAAAGGGGGCGGTGATACGCGATGGTGTGGGAGGGGGAGAATTATTTATTTTATGACTCCCGCTTTCACGGTCGCGAATATCTGGAATAGTTCTCTTTCGTCGAACATTCGCGATATTACTGCCCTCCCTCCCCCCTTCCCGTCACCCTTTACCCCAACTACGAAAAATCGCGATATTACGGACGAGATATATCTCTTGGTACGTCTGCACACTTTTACGGTGTTATCGACGTGATACCCGACATCCAACGGGAGCATATTCTCTCATTCCGCACGATTAACCCGTTACCCTACATACAAAGTATGGCATTGAACAGTTTAATTACATTACTCCGATTTTTTCGTGTTCTTCCAGCAGGAAGATCGACTCACAAATTTCCTATCGACAAAATTTTACACCAACGATAGTAAATGACCTGAGAGGAGAGAGTATGTAGAATGTTCGAAAGAAAAAGTGTCTGAAAGAACATCTCAAAGAATGTCTAATCGACACAGGTCGTAATATTAATCCTATCCAAGTAAAAATCAATTATTTTATATTTACGAGCTTTTCGGTCGACTGTGGCGTCAATCACGGTCGCAGAATTTCTCGTTTTCTAGATGAAATTTGCTAGGCGAAGTACATAGGATTTTTTTAGTATCCTACAAACTTCTTTTTTACAGAGGTTTTTAGTACAGAACGTTTTAATAAAAATCGATTTTTTTATTTCAAATATTCATCAGTTTTACAAGAATAAACGTGGTTGAAAAAATTCTACGTACTTCGCTAACAAATTTCATCTAGAAAATGAAAAACTCTACTCAAATAACGTAACAATTTCTTCTGTAACCCTGATCTAAGGATAATATTAATAGGCTTTTCATTTCCAACACTAAAATTGACAAGCCTACGAATAGGCTACCGGTCGATAAAGTGTCAATATATTTGATAGAATTGTGATTTCTCTATTCTATTACGTTTCACATGTAGTTGCACTTCGATATTCCTACGTCGAATCTGCTCTGTTATCATTATAATATACGACAATTACCATAAATCATTTGATTCTCTATGTAAATCAATTTGAAAATGTGTCTCGTCGGACACTACCGGATTGTTAAGAGTTAAACCGAGAGACTAATCACGAGAAACTAGAGGCGAGCACGGGCATCGTTCATTTCGTATCTCGTGATCGTACCAAAACAGTTTCCGGTCCCCCGTCATTCATAAACTATAAACCGAAAACCACCATCATAGTATACACATACAGGGTGGTCCACGCAACTTGTTCACCCTGAATAACTTCTAAAGTATACATTGTAGGAAAAGACTTTTTAAGAAAAAGTTATTCAAGGTGAACAAGTTGCGTGGACCACCCTGTATATGTGTGTGTACGTATCCTTAAAGTCCCCCAGGCAGCCAGTTGGTTGCGTGAGGGGAAATTTTCCAGCGTAGACGGAGGGGGTCGTGCACCATTTAGCGGTTATCCACGCGGTATCTTTGGGTCGTCTAGGAAAAACCATCCTCTGAAACTTCTCCAATTAATGTAATCACGGTGCACAACGGCCCTGGGATCACGTAGAACGAACGTTAGCCGCCGCCGCGGCTTGGTTTGCGGGATGAGCGATTCACCGCATACGCGAACGGCTCGCCCACCCTCCCTCTCGGGTATTATTGTGATCCACCGAAAATGTCTCCTCTACCTCTCGCTGAAGCCCGTGTGGTCCATATAACATCCACATTCACCCACCCATTCCTCTACGCTCTCCGATTTTCCATTGTACGCGCACCTTCTCGTGTTACCTTGCCGCAGGTGTACAGCGAAGGGTGTCGCGGATCGTCTTTCAATCCCCTTCAACTCCATCGGTCACTGATCCGTCACAGAAATACGATCAAGCTCCACCTACCCCTCCCACCACATCCCGGTGAAACGGAAGTAGGTAGATGAACATACATGGAATTCTCCATTCACGACGAGAAAACGAAACGACGACTGACACAAAACGAGGCAATGGTCCTAGGAACCCAGGGGTTATCAACCTGGGACCATTTGGACCCCAGGATATACCTGGTTTCCAATTATGGTATTCTATGTACAGTACCAAAATCATGATGAAACATGATTTACAATCCCTTATTATCTCCGATTTCGATGATTTTTCAATATCTGGACCGCATTCTATGTAGAAAAACGTTACCATTAAAGAAATCTCAGAATATACGACCTTGAGATGACCTTCAATCTCATAGCCTAACTTCTCTAAAATCGTTTAAAAAGACTGAATCTACCACTCTAGTTGCAAGATCCTCAGGTGTATCAAGGACAGTGACCCGTCCCCGTTCGATAACACACACACGTCGAAGAATCCAAGTTAATTGAACCCGTCAACCGCGCGACACGGCCGCTAGAAGTTTCGGGTGGCCCTTTAGGCGGTGTGTCGACCAGCACACAGACATGCAAAAGTTCAAATTTTCCCAGGGCGTCAAACGGTTTGGGAATTGGAATTGATGGATTTTCGAAAGTAAAGGGTGTAGAACAGGGGGTGAAGTGGGGTGGCTTGACGATATTCGGATGGGATAATTGTATTTAAATACAGATGAAGCTCCCCGGAATATCATTTCCACGGGAACTTTGACTATCTTCGTCGGATCCAATCAGATAAATGAAGTTTGGCGTTCCGCGGGTGAGTTACCAGGGGAGGGCAGGGGAGGGGTAGACTGGAGAAGATCTCGCAAATCACGTACCGAGAGATTCGATAGCCTACTTTGCTCGTTGGCAGCAGCAATCCCTCCCCCCCCCTCTCCTCCGCCACGAAACTGAGATTATCTGGCCATCAACCTCGATGCGGTTTGCAACTGACGCTTTCATTACAGTCCCATTTTCATGAAGATCCCTGCCGTTAAATGATACCCCGGGAACTCGTGCCAAAGTCTGCCCACTCTTTGCTGCTTAGTTCCCCCCTCGAAGGATTGTAAAAGAGGGGGGAGGTGGAGGACTAAGAATTGTATGGCCATCGAGGAGGGTTTAATATCCGGCCCCTCGTTATTTGCTCGCGCGTAGGAGTGTTCGTTGCGAAGGAAATTGCGAACGGCCAATTCGGAGGTGGAAAGATAGGGGGATAGGGTCCACGCACGGGAAAGTCTAGAATAAAACCTGTTTATAGTATTGTTCGCGGATCAAGGATAATCCCCGCGAGAGTCCTCTTTTCAGACGCCATCCCTCCTTCCACTCCATTCACCTCTTTAGCTCGTCAAGACGTTATGGGACACGAGAATTGGCTGGGAAAGCCGCGCGAAGGAAACTTCGAATAGAATCACATCGGAGGACACTTTGGGAATAACTGGGGCTGATTGGAAAATTGTTAAGCAAACGATTCGAGTCGTTGCGACGACACGGTCGCCACGGTTTTCTTAAGCGGTCGATCGAGGTTTTGTGATTGTAGGTACTGAATGAAAAAACATCATCGTGACGGTGGATAAAGTAAGTGTGTTAGTTACTGTGCCCATTAAGACGGAGATCGAAGTTTCTGGTCCATTCAATACCTGTTTTTTATATTTGAGAAACGTATGTAAGAGACAATATATCTATATATTTATGTATTAATAAACTAGGCTACGGGCTGCGATTGGACCAACGCGGAAGCTCAGCCGACACGACTCGCGCTCCGATTGGTCGGGATTTTTCGTTAATAACTCGTTAACAAAACCTCGGATAACATTTTCGCTAAGGAAAAAGTTGTTTCAAATCATCCCAGGGACCCCTCATTTCCGGGAGTCGAAGTTATTTTGGGACACTTTATATATACCTCCTCCTTGACCCGAGAATATCTTCAATGTTTCCTCTGCAGGGCATACGGACTACTTAAGGGGCTGCATGGCCGACATAATCTACAACGGCGCGAGGGTAATAGAATACGCGAAGTCGAGGAAGGGCCAGTCGGAGGCCACGGCCGTGACGTGGGGCTGTTCGCCGGAATTCGACGCGACGAGGAGCACGGAAGTCAGCTTCGTCGAGGATGGCGCGTTCACGGCGATCCCGAGGCCCATTCCACGCTCGGGCTCAAGGTATGTATATAATACATATATACCTAAGACGGCCTTTCATCGTGTAAATTACACCCCTGCGAGAGACTCTGCCCTCCCCCCTCAAATATATACCCGTTAAACCCGTCCGTGCCTAACCGAGTTAATTGGCGTTCCCAACCCCCTGATAATAGAAACAAAATTGCTTCCCCTCGGATTGCCGCCCATTGATCGCGATTTCGAAACTTTATTAAAACATCATTTTCCATGTGTAAACGCAAGATTGTGTGTATGTGTGTGTGTACATAGAGGGTGAGTCAGGAAGAACTACAGTAATAACTCGTTATTTATTTGTTGTATCGGAAAACGTTTTAATGAATTATGTAGCATTTTAAAGGGAGAGCCTGGTGTAAATAGATAAAAATGAACGAATTTTTGGGAATTTATATAAAAGAAAGTATTAACTCGATATCTCTTTGAAACCTTGGGAATACTTTATGGTACAATTAAACTGAATAGAAAAATACTTATTTTCACGACTAATCCATAAATATTATAGTTACGTGTATAGTGAGCAAGAGAGGTGTTCCGCGCCGGGGAATGTAACTAAAAAAATATTCAACCAACTGATTCAGCCTTGCATGTATATGTTCTTCAACATCTTCCTCACAGCATGAACCTACATTTATAATTTTATTGTTTCAATACAACATATTTTTTAGCATTTTTATGTGAAAAAAATTGCCTATTTTAAAAAAAGTCACATTTTCAATTTTGCATTTTTTAACTTCTTAAATAGATTCATGCTATGTTTTTAAGTGTCACAGTGGTGTTCCCCCTTAAGTATGATAAACCTGCCCCGAAACGGTCGATGTCGAGTGACACACAGTTCGTCGAGTCTCTACTTACAACGAACAACATCGTGTTACAGGAATTCTTCAGATCCCATAACCGCGTAACACGCACACAGGGTCGACACGGTTGTACACAGAGCTTTCAACACGGGAATCTCACGGGAGTTGCGTTAAAGCAGGCCACGGAAAAGCCTCCTAACAACAACCGTAATCGCGTTACGACGTAGACGTCGCTAATAGTTACAACGAGCTCTCCTCTCTCCCTCACTCTCTCTTTCTCATTCTCTCTCCGTTGCATCCTCGACGGAAGCACTTTGATCCCGCTATTCAGAATAACAAAGACCTTCTAGGGGGTGGGGGTGGGGTGCACAGAGCGTTCGATTGGCTCCGAGACAATCACAATGGCGAAACTTCAACCCCCACCCCCAACCCTGTTCCTATGGGCTTCGATGGAAGAAAAAAAAATTAAGAAAAACGATGTTCGCGGAATTAATGTTTATCGAGAGCCATAAAACCGTCAAGTATCACTGCGGCTGATTACGGGATAAATATTGAATATAAATTCAATAATACAGGGTACCTTCCACAGTTATGTACAAGTGGACATGAGATGATTGAGATGATGAGGAAAAGTAAGTCGAAAATATATAGAGTAACATTCTTTCATTTGAAACTTCGTTCATTTGAAAATTGGCTTTCAGCTTTAATTTGAAATACAAGGTATTCATCAAGGTAGTAAGTAGAAACGGAATGCAATCAACAGACGCATTAGCCAATTCCTATGCAATTGTACGGGTATCCGGCAGATTTTTCAAATTTAATTTTCTCGAAAACGATGCATGAAATGGAAAAAATTTATATAATAATTTTTAAATATTAAAACAACAAATTGGGAAAATCTGCTGGATACGCGGGCAACTGAATTGGAATTGGCTAGCGCGTCTGTTCATTGCATTCCGTATAATATACATATATGTATAGGCTGAATCACCGAACGTTTGCACCTCAAACATCTTTGTTGTTTTTAAAGATACGTTAAATGTCTTAAGTCTTAAGAACAAAGTTAAATGGTCACCTTCATTTTTTTAAATGGAATAATTATAGTCACTGACTTCTTAATAAAAGGAACTACCGACCCTGAGGTATCGGCATGTATACATTGAACACATGATTTATAAGACGCTTAAGTCCGCCGTGGAACGTTGGCTCGCGGCTTTTCATCGCGGAGCCGATACAGGATTTCGACGTTGATTCGAGAGAGGTCGGTTCAGTTTTTAATTGGCACTCTTCTGTCGCGGCATATACGGCAAAAACGGAGGTATGGAATGCCACGATTCGTGTGCGCCAACCACTCCCCCCTGGGTATTATTCGAACTAATTGGACCGCGCGCGAGATATCGTACATTTTTGCAAAACAATACCAAAACTCCCGAAGAAAAATTTTCTACGGCCACCGAACAACGAACGACGAACACATAAAGGAGAATGTACACCGATATAAAGGGGAAAATACGCTGGTGATTAACCGAGAGCAAAAAGTGTTAACCTATATACGTCGAAAAATGATTAGTTTAGGAGATAGACACGTGCTAATATTACAATGTGATTCTTAACATGATGACTTACTATAATTCTCATCGCAATTCCAACAGTAATGATGGTTCACGACCAAGTAAATATTTACCATGCCTTCGTGAATCTAACGTTCTAGATGAAACGCCCTACATTTCGATACACTTGCTCGTAAGTAAGTTTATAATGTAATCGTCTCCCTGTGACCTATCTCCTAAACTAATAATTTCTCGACGTACATAGGTTAATACTTTACCTCCAACTACAAAAAAATGATTACTGCCTAAAGTTCTTTCGTACCTCCGAAAATACCAGGACATTCAAGTGCTGATCCTTATTGGACCGCCCTGTATACGTATACACTTCCGAAACTGTAATACCGCGCACCCACAAGAACCACCTAACGGGAAATCATTTACTTAATCGTCCGGACAAATGCGACCGCCGTGTGTTCCGCGGAGCTCGGTAAACCCCATTTACGTCAACAGAACGGCGAAACGACGACGAGTTTTCTCGTCGTCATTTCGTGACTGTGACTCCTGTATTAAGCTCGAATGAGGTAGAGAATGAGGAGGCGACGGTTACACCTTGGACGTGTTTGTCCTTCGTGAAATGAAAAGGTTTTGACAATAAATGGCACCAACAGCATCAACACCACCACCAAGGTAATGTACAGGGTGTTCCACCCAACGTGAGCACCTTAACCCTTCTATTTTTTGGCGTCAGTAACACCAAAATAAAATTTTAATATTTAAAATACTATTTAATATTTTCGTACTATTCCTCTTTAATTCGTCTTTAAAATATTACCTCCCATTTAAAAATTGAAAACACTGGTGACCTAGAAAATACGAAAAATATGACATTGAGAATTTGTTGTTTATCACAGTGTTTGCCACTTCCAAACAAATAACATTGTTCCCTCACATTTTTTGTTTTTTAGAAAACAGGTGAGACATTGAAGGTGCTCACGTTAGATGGGATACCCTGTATACCTGTTGCGTTGTCGCGACACGGTGTCGAAACACACAATGCCTTCTTGGACGAACAATCCTCTTCTTCTCCGTGGAAGTTTCTGCGTGTTGTATCACGATTCGAGAATCATTTGGACGGTCCACCGTTTGGTGGATTCTTGCTAGGCGTTCTCCACAACGGGCAAACAAAAGTCCGCCGGAAACGAAAGCGGACGCGATGTGGTCGACTCCGTCATTCCCGTACTTAAACATCCCCGATGAACTCTGGCCCACGACGATGGCGTGTAAACAAGACGTTAATCGCGATTAAATCGAACGAAAAGGGGGTCGTGGTGGCACACTTTGCAGCGCTGCCTCTAACATCCCTAAAACCATCATCTGGAGAATTCGACGCATGTAGGACCGTTAATTTAAGTCTGTGAAGTTGGCAGCCCCAAATGCAAATTTTTATGAAAAACAAACAGATTCATTTGTCCCACGATTTTTGCAGATTTGTCCAGCAAAATTTTCGTTTGTCCACCCTCCAAAAAGAGTTACAAAAAAATTAAGTTGTAACTTTTTTTGACGAGTGGGCAGACAAACATAATGGGTAGACAAACGTGGACCAATCGTGGACTATCATATCCCACCTAAAAGTGATTGCAAAATATACGTGGTAGTATTGATATCATATTCTTAATTTGTTTATAACTTTTTAATACTCGACATCCAAAAGGCGTAAAAGTTTAACCGTATCCGAATTTCGAACAATCCTTAACAATTAAATCGATATTGGTTTCGGTCCAGATAGGAAGCTCGGATAAATATCTCTAAACCCTTCTTCGTATTGGTAACGATGCATTTATTCGGTTCCATTCGGGGTACGTAACCCGGGGGTTCAACGCGATCTAAATCAATTTCGGAATCACGTCTCCCGCGTAAACACTGAAACTTTCCCCCTACCCCCACCCCCTGACGTACAACGAAAGATGCAAACGGCCAGGTAATTCTACGCGAACAGTTAAGAAACTCCGAAATTCCGGTAACGTTTCCTTAACGGTTTAGCGGGTCCATTCAGAGCGAGACAGAGTTCTGGCGAGGGGGTGGAAGGGGGTCGAAGAAGTCAACTGCGAAATTCTAACTCGATCGTGAATACCCCACTCCCTCCCCCCTCATCTCAACGACACGACGTTGTTACAGAGTTTTAACGTTATCCTCTATTAGCCCGCCAACCAACCCCTGCCCACCCAACTGGCTCTGTGTGTTCAGCTCTCCGTATCTATCCGCCTCTTTTGACCAACTTGGCAAAGAAGGAGGTATATAATTCGATGTGTATGTACGTTTTTATTTATGCTCATTGGATAAAAAGAGTATTCGCACACCTTTTAAAACAGGACCATTTTTAAAAAATTGGACCAAGTGTCTTGATTTTTTCTTGTGTATTTAGAAGGATTAGTTTGTTGAATGATGTCGCAAACAATTTTTGAAAAAGTTGAAATTTCTCGGAATCGCGAAGAATTTCCCACAGACAAGAAGAACCGAAAAACAAATTCCACCATCGTAGGGTGAAGTTGGAGGGTGCGAAATAGATGTTCGATCCTCCTCCCCTCTCTCCCGACTCCATCCCTCCGCGACTTGCTTCCTTCCTTTCAATTTTCTCTGACCCGATTTCGTCCCCCACAGATGGGAGTTCGAGCTGAAGACAAACGCCGGCGCGGGTCTGCTGCTCTACAACGCCGGGCAATCGTCCTACGCCGATTACCTCGGGATCGAGTTGTTCGAGGGTAAAATCCGTCTGCTGATGAACAAAGGTAACGGTCCCACGGAGCTGATACACGGCGCTACGGTGGCGGACGGTGAATGGCATCGTGTGCTCGTCGATTTCAATCCGAACGGGATCGGCATCACGGTCGATCGACAGGAGAAAACGATCGGTCTGCCGTCCGGCGGGAATCGTTATCTCGATCTGGCGGACACCGTGTACGTGGGCGGTACCGAGCTGAACAAACGGGCTAGGGCGCTCGGCAAAGGTCTCAAGTCCGGCGACGTGAGCTACAAGGGTTGCTTGCGAAATATGCGGCTGGACAACAAGGAACTCGGACTGCCCGACGTGAAGATCAGCCAGGGCATCGTGATCGGCTGTGTTTGGGGGTACCCGTGCGTCCAGACCGATCCGCCGTGCGTTAACGGGGCGGTTTGCTCCCAGCTGGGCGTCAGCTCGTTCGACTGCCGTTGCGATCAACCGTCGTGCATCAAGCCGGACCACGCCGAGGATTACAAGGCAAATATTGTATAACGATTTTTCTACGTTACTCTGAACCCAATAAGATACTTACGAAAAGAAGGAAATTCCTACCATTGCTTTTGACTTTAGGAACTACTGTAGAAAATGTCCTTTTGCATAGAAATTCGAAGTCTAGTAATAAAAATTCTTATTGACTACTAAAGTATGCATTGTATTAGATATAAATATATATTAATAATTTGTGTTTTGTTCTCCTCTGCTTTTACTACAGCATGCATCCTTTCTGGTATATTCCTTATACATTATTGTGGAGTGATTTGGCAAATATACAGAATTTTTTTTTTAAATCATCTATTGTGGTGACAGATGATGCGTGTATAACGGTTTAAGTAAACTCCAGACGTTTTTAATGGCATTTATGTCGGGAGAGTTGCAAAAGTAAAAAATAATAAGACATTACCCACAGGTTTACTCGAAGGCGAATTTACCGGTGAACCTGGAGGTACTCTCGGTGAGTCCGTTACTCGTGTCCGAGGGGGGACACGTGCTGGTGACGAGCGATAACATTGCCATGGTGTTGGACATCGCTAAATATGGGGTGGAAGAGGACGGTGTTATCTTCAGCCTGGTTATGCCGCCCATGTATGGAACCCTGACGCTGGATCTCTTAACGACCAAAACAGAACGTTCCTTTACTCTCCAAGACATCAGTCGAGATAAGGTAATACTCTCCCTTTTGTACACCGAAACACATGCCAGTCGCTTAACCCACCCGTAGACCGAGAGAGGAAAAGAGAAGACAATGGAATCTGGTCGATCTTTGAATCTTCGATTTTTGAACACGTTTGGACGGTTTAATTGTCCACAACTAGTCACGACACGACAGTTTTTCGAAAAGAGACCTGCAGTTTGAACGTCTCGTCGTGATCGTAACACCAATTGATAACTATTTCCAATCTAACTCGCACGAACGCGGTTTGAAACGGTTTTCTCGCGGTCCCAGTCGCGCCAATCGTGTCTGTTATCGGGCGAAAGTATCGATGAACGGTGACAACGAACAACATCACAAATGACACACAATAATTCAACGATTCGAAACGCGGAGATGAGAAAAGAACAGACGGGAAATCGTGCGCTCTTCCAGTTCGTCATAGGAGACGAACGGGCACCCGCCTATAGATAGTTGCTGTTCGAGGAACTAACTTTAGAACCGTGGGGGGCCGTATAAGAGCTGCGGTTCGTGTCGTCGGAAGTATCTCTCTCTCTCTTCTCGGTTGTCTGTTCATCTTCTACTTGCACTCAATTTATCCAGCGACAGTGGCGCTATTTATAAACACCGCACCACCGCTCATTAAAGGTTTTTCGTGGGGTTTTACGTCGAGTCCCGGGGACCGCATATCCATTAAACGCTAGGGGCTAGCGCCCTCCGCGTTTTGCCAGGGTTTATTTCTTTCCAGACGTTTTTCAAAGCTTCCTCCTCCCACGCTTCCTTTCCCCTTCCTCCATCCCTTGAGAGAAAGACCTTCGAAAATCCGGGGTTAAGTAACGGCGGCGTGAAACTCCCGTCGATTCGGTATGCTAATCGCCGATTTATAAGCTCCACCTCCCCCCTGCCGCTTTAATTAATTTTAATTACGGGACGGAGGATGCTAGGGGCGAGTTTAATGCCGGTCAGGATGATTCACCCGTGCGCTCCGCCAACGAACGAGGTTATAAAGGGGAATTTTTAAAACCGGTTCCCCCTTTACCGTTTTAAAATTGTCGCAGTCCGACAGAAAAATACGACCAGGTCGTCGTAGTCGTCGTGTCAAAGAATTTATCGGTTCGTTAACGAACCAAGGAAAAAAATGGTAAGGAGAGACTCGCGAAAGTCTCGATCGCGAACATTCCGCGGCCGTAAATAACGGGCAATAGCGGGAAGAAGTAAATCTTCGAGGGGGCGAGGGAAAGGGTGAGTTTGTGAAACTGCACGCTTGTGGATGTTTGTTCCATTTTTCATCTTGATCTTGTAGTTTCATAAAGTCGCACCCCGGCTCGCGACAAATAATCGTCGTCGTCGCTAATCTGTTATCTGAGACACACAAGTGTGTTATAAAAAGACGCAACATCCATAATGATCTTTTTCCAATCGAAAGATATCACAAGTGTGCCGTCCCTCCACATGTGGCGTCCCTCCTGAATTTACCCTATTCGAGTGACGTGCCTGGGATTTCGACGCGTGTGTGCACGACACCTTTAAGCCGCCCCCAATCCATATTCATAAGTTTCCGGAAACATTATTTACTACACGACAGGTCGCGCCCCATTGTCTCATTATCACGTTGCAATTTCCATCGACAGATACAGTACATGCACGACGGCAGCGAAACCACGGAGGACAGTATGATCGTGGATGTGACACTGGTGGCTGGAGCCGGTTACACGTTGCCCGGCTATCTCCAAGGACGTCTAACGTTCCCGCTCCACGTCAACGTAACGCCCGTTAATGATCCGCCGTTGCTCGAGATATCGACCGCGAAAGTGCTACGTCTGGCTCAAGTAAGACAACCAAAAAATGATCATCAATTCTTGTACACGGACAAGTTGCTGCAGTGCTGGTCCTGGGTATTTAGCCGCCCCTGCTGCAGACCCACGTTTCGTTGCCCCCTAATTTCGTTCGAATTAAATTTCGGGGAAATACATAAATATTTGGACTTCGATGAGATAAACAAACCAGACCCTAGACGAGTGCTGTTTTAGGGTCTGCTACCGAATCAGCTTTGTTTTCGTGGAAAAATTGATGTGGCATTTTTTTACAGGGTGAAACAATAAGAACTAGTATGTAAAACAACTGGTTGCCTATTAGGTGTATCACAAAACATCTTAATCCTGTCACTTGATACCCTTGAGTTGTAAAAACTGTGCTCGACCGTCGGTCAGGGACGTACGACGTCAATTTGGGATCGATTTCTCCGTTCAAATCTAATTAAACAAGTTCTTATAGCGTACTAATTTCAGATTTAAAATACTTGTGGCCCTTTTAGTTTTCAAATATTCCAGTCTTTTTCGTTTCATTCCTTGGAACCCCATAGCTGAAAGTGGCGTACGACCCTGGGACTCAATGAGCCCCCGATGATCGAGAACTAATGGTTTAAGGATCGGCCACGTTTATGGCTAACGCTATATCTTTGAAGCAGCTATACCGTGGTCTCGTGGAAACCGACCAGACAACTCCACACGTTCCTCGGGTAGTATCGCGTTAACGTAATTGCCGCGAAATACACCGACACTTGCCGTGACCCCTTCACCCCCCTTCCAGTAAATCAATTAATCAGGAGGAATCGAAGAAATTGTGGTCCGCCCACAGCACAGTTCTCCCTCCTTCCACCTTCCTCATTCTCTCTGTCTTCGACGAACACGGCAGCCGTAGTCGTGACGAAATCGATTTAAGCCGGTACTTCGGCCGTTGCCCTTAATTAACCACTTAAACCTGCAATCTTCTTAAACGAAATAATTCTCTTTTACTTCGTAAAAATTACGGTTCAACCGGTTCGGAAGCTCAATATCGCACGGAGAAGATCTTCCCACCCCCCTAGTAACACTTTTTGCCAACTGGTACACCTTACAATTAGATGTTTCCCCGCAGGGCACAAGGAAGATTTTGACGAAAGAACTGGTCTGGGCGATCGACGCCGACACACCGTCGGACATGTTGGTGTACACGGTGTTACGTACAGATGCGGATGCCGGGTACGTCGAGAGGGTGACTTACCCGTCCAGGCCCATCGACACGTTCACCCAGGCTGAATTAATGCAAGGACTGATTGCATATGTGCACCGTGGAAACGGTAAAAATTTTACATTGATTACACCGGGGGAGTTGGCTGAAAAACGGTTCCGTACAGTTTTTTTTTTTGAAACGCAACTTCACGTTTAACCCTTTTTAACCTGAATTATTAGAAGAAAAAGTTACTCAATTAACAAGTTAGAACAAATAAATTAGGTTTTTTCCAAAGCGCTAAAAAGCACGCTCAGGTAATTCTAGCTGTAACTACAAAAGTAAAAAGTATACAGAGCTAATATTTCGAAAAAATCTTAAAAACAATAATTTGTTAGATTGGACATATTAAGTAAAAAGGACAGTATACTGGGCGTTAAAGGGTTACCTACGCAAAAATTTAAAAAACCAATGAACGTTCCCCTATCTCTAATTCTCCAGCAAAACCGAACGCGAAGCTAGATCTTCAAGTGAGCGACGGCACAGAGGTCAGCAAACCGGCGAGCCTGAGGGTGGCGGCGCATCCGTTGGAGATCAAACTGACGCACAACACCGGTCTGGTGGTTGTCCATCGATCGTTCTCGTACCTTAACGCGGCGAATCTCTCGTTCACCACGAACTCCGACGACAATACCATCGACATACGTTACGACATCGTCGCGCCACCACAATACGGCGCTATTCAACGATCAAAAGACCCCTCGGGTGGTGGTGGCTGGACGAACGTGGATCATTTCACGAGCAGAGACATCGACTCACACGGGGTCAGGTATCTCCACAACGAGGGCAGTCCGAATCAGGACGAGTTCAAGTTCCAAGCCAGCGTTCGGGAGGTCAGGGCGCAACATACATACGACTTCCGTGTCACGTTCATCGATCTTGAGCTTAAAGAGACCAAGAGGATCGCTGTGAACTTCACGAACGTCGCCGAGGCGATTGTAACAGGACAAAATCTCAGGTACCAGACGAACCCACTGGTGACCCCGTCCAATAAGATCACCTTCACCGTCACTACTGGACCTAGATACGGTGGTCTGTTTCTCTCTAATCGTCGTCTAACGATAGGGGACACCTTCACGCAGGAGGACGTAGACTCCAGTAGTAGGGTAAGGTATCGTCTGTTCAAGCGTGCCTACTCGACAATCCTGGACGAGATCGGGTACAAGGTGAACGCTCCACAGTGCATCGAGCTGCACGGTAGCCTGAAGCTAAGACACTACCTGAGCAAAAACGTAAAACCGTTGGACAGCGTGGAAACGCTTCGCGTCGACGAGGGCTCCAGAGTACCGGTCAGGATCGTACGAGCAAACCTAAGGGACTACGGTGTGTTAACGTTAACGTACAATCTGACGATCGAACCTCGCCACGGGTGGCTCACCGTCACCAACAATTCGAAATCCCGAACGCGCAACAACACCCGTTACTTCACATCCGAGGAGCTCGCCACCCAAAGAGTCTACTACGTGCACGATGACACAGAAACTAAAGAGGACACATTTCAGTTCGTCGCTATCGCCGACCAGGACACCGTGGACTTCATGTACGTCGGTCTGGTGCGCGTGGAAATCACCATGAAGAACGACAACGCGCCAGAACGAGTGGTGAACCGAGTGTTCCACGTGGTGTCGAAGGGCGAACGATTGCTGACGGGCAAAGATTTAGCGTACGTGGACAAGGACGTGGACACAAAGCCAGGGGAGTTGATCTACACCCGCAGGGACACACAGAGGAACGGGATCTACAGAGTGTCGAATTCATCCGCGCAGATCCACGAGTTCAGCCAGCAGGATCTCGACGACGGCCAGATACTGTTCAAACATCAGGACGAGAAACACAGCAGGTTCGAATTTGGGGTGACAGACGGCCACTTTTACACGGCTGGTGTCCTCGAGATACAAGCCAGTCCGCCTTACGTGAGGCTACGCGAGAGCAACGGGTCCGTAGTGCAGTTCAACAGATCGGTGACGATCAGGCCAACAGAATTGGACGTCGAGACGAACGTGTACACGTCGGACAAGGACATCAAGTACACGGTGCTGGTGAAACCGAAGCACGGTGTGTTGTTGAGACACGGCCGTGAAACGAACACATTCACAGAAGAAAACTTGCGCTACGGTATAGTGTCGTATAGACACTTAGGGGGATCGTTGACAGGGGACGATTTCAAGTTCAAGGTGTCGACGAAAGGGGCGGAAACAGAGGGTGTGCTAATGATTAAAATCTATCCAGAGAGCTACTGGCAGCGTCTGATTGTCCAGCATAATAAAACGGTGTTCGTCGAGGAGGCGACCAGCGTTCTCTTGAACCGAAAGAGCCTAGAGGTGATGCACCCGAGGATACCGGACACGGAGATCGTTTATCATCTGAAAGAATGGCCCCAGAACGGTTACCTCGAGCTGCAGATACACGACGAGCAGCACAGCGACGAGACACGCGAGGATTATATCGGCAACGCCGTGAAGACGTTCGATCAGAGGCTGGTGAACGAGGGACGTGTGTTCTACGTACAATCAGTGATCAATCAAACGAACGATCGGTTCGTCGTCGACGCTACGAACGGGATCACGTGGTTGCATGATCTGACCGTGAATTTTGTGATCGTCCCGGAGAAACTGTACGTCGAGGCAAGGGGACTCGTTGTGATCGAGGGAAAGAGCACGATCCTAGACGAGAAGTGTTTCACGATTCTAACGCCTTATTATTCTGGTAAGATCACGGATTATCGTGTCACGGAGAAGCCAAGACACGGCACTATACTGGACTCCGCGAAGAACACGCAGACGAAGAAGTTCTCGCAGAAACATCTGACCGCTGGGATCATATTGTACAAGCACAACGGCGACGAATCGTCGAAGGATTCGTTTAAAATGGTCCTGGTGGCTGGGGACAAGGTCAGTGAACCGTTCGAGGTTTGGGTGAATGTGCAACCGGTCGACGATGAACTGCCGGTTCTGGTGAACAGAACGAAACTGAATGTCTGGCAGGGTGGAAGGATCACGTTGACACCGGCCAGCTTGGCGGCCGTCGACAATGACACCGCGGCTCACGATTTAACGTTCAATCTCACCGGTTTGAGGAACGGTTTCGTCTCGCTGAAATCATCCCCGGACGTGGACGTCTACGACTTCACGCAGGAGCAGATTGATCAGTCGAAGATCATTTTTACTCACACAAGTAAGCGATATACAGGGTGTTCTCACCTAACGTGACCACCTTTGGTATCTTACTTGCTTTTGATTTGCAGAAAATTAATTTTAATAAATTCCCAGTGATGTCCATCAACTTCGATACACTTTTGCAACTAATCTCCCTATCGTAGCTATTTTAATATTTAATTTTTATCATTTTTCGTACTCAAGATCACATGAAGGTCACACTACTAAAGGTTATTGGATTGGTCTTAATTTTAACGATTACGACACGCTGATAAAAATATGGCGTTCCATTCTAAACGAACACATCGATGACCTTGAAATTTCGAAAAATATAACCTTTAGAAAAATTTTCGTTTATCGCAGTATTTGCCTCTTCTAACCAAATAATACGTGTATTTGCAAAAAATTGAAGGTGCCCTTGAAAAATCATGAAAAAAAAAAAGAGTTAACAAAAAATTTGCTATAATCACGTTAAAGCTCTCTTGAAACCATGCTATACCTGATAAAAACATTTTCGATCGAACTGCTAATAACAAAGTAATCTCTACTGATCACGATTCGTGGTTCACCTTGTATACTTATGCATAGAGTGGACGCACCGCTAAATGAACAGATATTTCTTTTCTGTTTCATCTTTTATTCACGTGCCCTTGTTCAGATTTATGCTATCTTTGTACCAAATGGTTTTTTCCGTTAAAATAAATATTATTATTATTTCAGATGGATCCGACGCAGAGTTCAATTTTGTTCTCAGCGACGGCGTGCACACGTCCGAGCCTTATACCGTGTCGATCGCCACCAAGCCGGTTCGATTGAATGTCGAGCGCAACTCAGCGCTAAACGTTTTTCCCCTGACCAGAAAACTGATATCGAGTAAACTGTTGCTGACGGTGTGCTCGGACGAAACACGTGACATAAGGTACACGGTGCGAAATGGGACTCATCGCGGCAAGATCATCATGGAGACCAGCGAGGGCGCGTGGTTGAACGTCGATCGGTTCACGCAACGGGACGTCAACAACAGCAAAGTTTTCTACGAGCACACCAAACAGTTCATGGACCTGACCGCGGACGATTCGTTCACGTTCGACGTGGAGTCGCATTTCGCGGAATCCTTAACCAATCAGGCGAGTTACTAGCGATCACAAAGAAACACGACAGGGAAAAACATTCCAATTTACTCTTTCCTTTCTCTCTGTGTCTCTAACAAGGCAACATCCCCCTGAATTGACAATCGTCGATTTTAATGCAACTCCTTGAGATTGTAGTTCTCGGTGAAATAGTTATGTTTTTTTTTAGCTGCTCTTATGTACGTTGAAGGGGTGAGAACAGCCCTCAAAGTTAAGGGTGTGATTTTTTAATAATGCAAAAATCAAAATTCCAATTTACCTGTATTGTATATGTAGATATGTAGTTTTCATTTGATTTAACAGAAAAATTAATAGAAAGTGCTACTTCTTAAATGTACTGTTTAAACAAATCGATTATTCTGGAGTACAACCGTATACCTGGATTCGTTGTGAAAAAATCAGACTATTGTAATTTATACTGTTTTTGGGTTCACACCCGAAACTCTGAGGACGCTTTTCATCCCTTCAACGTGGGTAAGAGCAGCTAAAAAAAAATACGTGTCAAATATTTTTACGAGGACTACAATCTCACAGAGTTGCATCGAAATCAGCACCCGTCAATTCTGGAGGTTCCCCTGTAGGTCTCCAAGGTCTCTAACTTTAATCGACGTTACGCAGGTATTTCAAATCGACATCTCGGTCTCCAGCGGCGGCCTGGACAGGTACATCACCGTGAAGAACGTCAGGGTGGAGGAAGGTGGTTCAGCGCAGGTGATCATGAACATCAGCGGAATCGTCACGTTTCTTCATACCCACGCCGGTATCGAGAGTCCAGTGGTGCTGTCGAGATTGATAGGTCAGCCGAGTCACGGCCACGTGATGATCGTCCCAGACCTGAACGTGACCACATTCTCCCAGCCGCAGATCGAGGGCGGCAAGATCGCGTATTATCACGATCACTCGGACACCTTAGAGGATCGTATCAACTTCTCCCTCTATCTAACACCCGGTCACATCCTCCTCTGTAACACCACCGTCCCGGTTATAATCGAGCCGGTGAACGACGAGCTGTTCAAGCTGGTCACAAACTCCCCGTCTATCACGGTGGTCCAGAATCAAAATCAAACAATCACCCGTGAGAATCTGTTGACCAACGATCCGGACACGCCGCCCGAGGAAATCATGTACGACGTGATATCGGGACCGACCTACGGCCGACTGTTGCTGCTACCCTTCAACGAGAACATATCAGAGGTGCGTCAGGTGAACAAATTCACGCAGCACGACGTCGACTCGAATCGACTGGTGTACGAGCACAACGGTCCCCTACAAGCAGCCTCGTTCTATTTCCGTGTCTGGGACGGTCGTTTCAATCCCACTTACACAGTCTTCAATGTCTACGTACTACCGATCAAACTGAACGTAACCGTGCCTGGACCTGTGTGCCTTCAACAGGGCTCGAACGTCGCTCTGATCTCGGAGAGCAACGTGAAACTGGACACGAACGCGCGACAAGATCTGATCGTGTACGAGGTGACCGGTGCACCGAAGCACGGTGTACTGTACGTGAGGGACGGAGCAGCGGTCAGTTTCAAGCAGACCGATCTGCTATCCAAGAGCGTGATGTTCATGCAAACCGACATGACCGTGTCGAACGACAGTCTAGTGTTGACCGCTCGACTGAGCGGTTTCGAGATCAAACACATACGTATCCAGATCAAAGTGGTCCCGTTGATGATCATGAACTCGATGACAGCGTTAGCCGGCGAGAAAACACGGATCACCTTACAACACCTGGACGCAACCCCGTTGGCGAAGCTGACCACCAGCAACCCCATCTACACGATACTAAAAAAGCCAAAGTACGGTAAAACAAAGAGAATCATCAGAAGCTCGTCGTCCTCGGGAGAAAAACGTGGCACCCGTGAGAAAGAAGTGATCCGATTCTCGCATCAGGAGGTTGTGTCCGGCGTGATATACCTCGTCTGCCGAAAGATCCCCACGTTGGAGTACGAGGGCACGATCGACAGTTTCACGTTCGTTCTAGCTGCCACGATATTCCAACCAGCGATAGGGGAGTTCGAATTCCGCGTGAAACTCGACACGGACGAGTACAACATCACGTTAGGGGGCCCAATGGACCCGGTCGGGCACGAGGGCGAGATGGCGATCGCGCCGAACATGAGCAACGATTATCTGTTAATTCTCGGAATGCTACTAGGCGTGTTTTTGTTGGGTGTGGTCGTGATCATCACGATTCGATGCAGGCATAATCGGTACAAACACGCCGAGGAGGAGAAACCGGAAGCAACGCCAGCGGTTGGTGTGATGCCGCTTCCTAGGCCGCCGGATCATTTGATGCCAGCGACGCCTCATTTGAAACGTTTCGCCGCGAACGATCATAACAGTGTCGCGGTCAGCACCCCGTTACCAGTGCTGCCCACGATGACGTCGACGTTACCTCAGTGCAAAGTGATACCGTTGAGCCCGTTGGAGAGCATCACCGGCTCAGAGGTGGACGTGTCAGCCAGATATCCGTACGGTGTCGCGGACGGGGACGAATGGAGCAGCTTCGACACGTCCGATCTGCCCTGCCAATCTGCTACCGCCACCGCCCAGAGGACCAACAATCCCCTCCTGAGACGGAATCAGTACTGGGTCTAGCAAAAGGAGGGCTATTCGCGGGTGACGCGAATCAAGCCGTAACACACACTATCTCAATTACCGAAAGACTGTACGTGTTTCTCATACGAGGAAGAACACACCGCTCGAGACTCTAGTTACCGTCGATTACTATGGTCTTAATGTGCCTAAAGCGAAGTGACATGGCGGATATACGGGAAGTGGGGTAGGGGGAGGGGGGGGGTATATACCGAAAGCCTCGATTTTATACAGATACCTTGACGGAAACTCTTCTTCGGCGTGTGATCATTCGAGATGTTTGAAATGTGCCAAAGTACAGCGGAAAACTTTACAGAGGGACTTGTCCACGGTCTACACGAGAGGATCGGAATGTGCTGTCCACAGTCAAGGATTAGAGTTTCCATCGAACCTTCTTGTGTCTTCGGTTTTGTTCATTTTTCTTCTTTTTTTGGGGACTTTTTGTACGAAACGGTAATCTGCGTCGAGAAAGTTGAATGTACGGGAACTACACGAAGCAAACGGTGTGTCTTTTGTCTAGTAGATACCCATATAGCTTTCCCGTGACCTACGAGAAGAATTATAATTGGAACGAAATCACGTGGATCGTTCGAAGTCGAATCGGCTTTCATACGGAACAGACACTCCCAGAGGTTTGTGCGCTTGTTCGGTTCCACCACACGAAAACGACGAACGGAGCGCGCGCCTCGAATTAGATAAATTGTACAGTGGTTATCTCGGTCGTTCGACGTATTTTCGGCGGTCACGTGATTCGGTTCCGACTAGACAGTAAAACTTGGATTGGTACCCGAAAATTGGAACTGAAACCCGGGTGCGTGCTCACGAAGAAGAAGAATGAATTCTACGTAGAAGAGGATGGCGAGTCAAAATGAAAGGGGGACTGTGTCGATGAGACAACACTGATGCAACAATGTAAAGTTTTTATCTTTTATTTTTTTTTTCAATAAAATTTTTACTGACGTATTTGTGAGATTTTAATCAAGAAAATCTCGCAAATACGTTAGTAAAAGTTTCTTTGGAAAATAAAATAAGAAATGTTCGTCGTTGCATTAGTGTTGTCACTCTCTTGTAACAGTGATCGATGAAATACTGTACATTCTATGCTTGACTGGTTCCAGGGGCCACCTCACCCAGTGGTGGGGATGAACACCGTGTGTGCTTACGCTGTAGATCGTTTCGATTACTAATCCAAGTTTCACTGTATAGGCACGCTAATTATATATAAAGAATCACTAAAGTCAGGACTACTATCGTCGCTATTATGGATCGAATGTGCCTAAGAGATTACCAAATCTCATAAGAATATTCATCACCGCGAGATTGCGCTGCACTGTCTTTCCTCGCGGTTCGATGTCGAAATCGAAGGAGGGGGAAAAATCTTCCATTTCGATACGCGAATCGTATTCCAAAAATCGCCCCTTGGCCGGAGAGCCAAACACACACACACACGCGTCAATCAGAATGTTTCTAACCCCCTCGGTGTGTCTCTACAACACCACCCCAGATATCACATGACGCCTAATGACGCCTTGAAGACGGCTTAAAGGCGCCTTAGACCTAAAATATCCGTAAAATGGGCGTCTTCAATGTGTCATGTGCTATCTGGGACGGATACCGATAATTTCCGCTTCTCTCGATGAGGAAATATTCGCGATCGAACGACGAACACGCTGAAAAACGAGGGCCAATTGTCACTAAGTGGCGGCGAGTAACGAAAATATTCGGACAATGTACATGGAGGACATTAAACGTGACGGTGTAGTTTTTGTTTCAAACAAATTCCTATTGATTCGGTAATCAGATTCTTCCATAGAAATCTGATATACACAGTTCCGGCACTGTGACAGCGTGTTTTAATGGCGTGATTAATATGGCCTTGGAGTAACATTGACAAGGAAAGTTTCAATGTCCTGGACTTATATTTCACTCGACTGAAAATTTCCTATCCGTCACACGGTACGCAGTTCGAAAGGTCTCGATGCAGTCTATACTATATGACAGATAGTTCTATATTTTGAAAAGAAAGACCCTGACACATCGCAGAAAAATAAGTGAATTCATCGAAAAGAAATTTTCCCTTTAACCTCTCTGGAATTCTACGGTTCGAGTACCTTCGTTGCTCGGCATGACTCGAGAACGATGTCGTGAAAGACGTTTGTAGAGTATCAGGGCGCGAAACATATACGATACTAACCTAACATTTGTAAAAAAAAAAGTGACTGCAATGTGGTCCGCGTGTTTGAGATTTATATACACCCGCAGGAGAAAATGTATAGAGATAATAAAACGACTTTTATAATAGCGTGAAACCTCGCGCTTTAGACGCGCACACCACGGTACAATAGGTGAACACTACGAGTTTCGCACATATCTTTTTACACCATTCCCCCCGCGCAATTTCTACTGACCCCAATGTCATTCATGTACTTACATGCATCGAGCTCTCTCATCGTTGATGATGTCCACGTCGCGTCTTAACGAGCCTAAAATCCGTGTTCCTTCCTGGTTCCGTAATCGTTACACCCGCCGCGAAAACATCAGTTACCTACACCGAAAATATATTTCCGTTGGCAAATGGAAGTTCAAGAAGAGAACAAGAGATGGCGCTTCCGTTTATTTGGCGGTTTCTTTTTTAACCAATTCACAACGCGCAATAATATCGGATCGCTTAATAAGAGCGATCTCTCATCGACTGAGATATGCTCCATGCGTTTAAAATTGCGAATATTCGGCCAGTTTTATATGCACAAATAATCCAAATACATTACCCCAACAATCATCTGTTATCGATGTCCGGAAGTATGTCGGTGGCGTGGGGTGCAGATGTGCATACATGTTCCTTGCTTCAGCGAATTCATAACGTTCGAAATCCGGGTCAATATTTTGAATCGACGGTTCGAGGATCAATTTCTTCCAGATCTACGAAGTATTTCCAATTTTTATATGTATCTTTTTTTCCCTTTCCAATCAGACGTACGATACGCACCGGCGACAACGGTTTCCTCGAATTCCCATCAGTATTACGATAAATTAACGAAACGCTCGATCGATAGTATCGAATCTCGATACGAACAGTGTGTGTCGATTATCCACCGCTCGTCGATCATTTTGGCGGGCACGGTAAACGTTTTTTCGGGCCTGCGCAAACTCACAGTGACCTTAATTAACGACGACTTCTTTGAACCTTAGGGAACTATGTATAATTAAGAGAAACGCTCTAACGTCGATGTTAATATAGTGATAACGATAATAATAATGTTTATTATTATATGTATAAATATACGAAATATGTACACTCCTACATAGAAGACACTGTTCCACGAATTCATAGCATGTCCATTAATAATAACAGTTCCGACTCGTACGAGACCAGAATGGTACGGAGGGACATTTTTACCGAGAGGATCCGTTTGTTGATTAATGAATATGCTAGAAACCGAACAGTTAGGCTTTTTTACCATCCCCCTAAAAGTGAACCGATCCGAGTGCCAAACTTCTATATTGTGTAATATACATATAGTTATATACATATAGGACTGTATTTTCCCTGCCGACTGAACGCATTACTCTTGTAATTCAAATAAAATAAAATGAATGTGCGATGTTATTTAATAGGAGGCGTGTAATCGTAAACGTTAACAAACCTTCCTCCCTCGTTATTGGTTTATTCATCGTATGATCCGTATGGTTTATAATATGAATATCGATATATCACTAACCTTCAATTTAAGGATGGTGCTGGTGGTAGTACGTTCACAAAATCGTTCAAACATGCCGATACACACACGAGGTATAAGAAATCAGTACGAAGTACCGAATTACATTTGTACACATTTTTTCAATGCAAACGATATAATTACAACCACAGATCAACTTCTCGATCCTCGGATACAATTCGTTTTAGATAGAAAACATTGACGTACGATGCCTGTCGTGATATTTCAGCCACCCGTCTCTCGATGTTTTGAAACATGCAATGCATTCCTGAACGCCATCTGTGCTAAATACGTCTCGTCGGTTGTACAATGACGTCAAAGATTATGAAATACAATCTGACAGATAATACCAATTAAATAATTGATAAAAGCTTTTCTTTATGGAGAAAATGAAGAAACCAGAGACCTGGCAATACTGCAGAAGTTCGGCTATTTAAACTCTAGTAGGGCCAAAATTCATTTTTTAATTCTTCACAATAAATAAAATTATTGTAAATAAACTTGTGTGTAAAAATTTACCAATTTCCAGTAGATTATTGTTTGTGCGTATTAAAATTCTTACATCACATTATTAGATAAAAAAAGATATAAAAACAAATAAAAAAAGAACGTGCGTGAAAAGTCATCGCATTACTAAAATCTTCATTAATTCTATGTTCTCGAAAATTGTATATTTCCGAGAACATAGAAACATCTTTAATATTCCAACAAAAAATATTTAAACAACAAAATAATAAATTTCTTTCGCAAAACTACGCATTATACGTGCTTTATAACGCTCAGAAAAGCGTAAATTGTCGATGACGATTCGAACGAGTGAAGCTCCATCTGTGAAATTCGATTCTATTTCGTTCGAATTAGCAAGAACGCGGTATAGGAAGTTACTTCTCAACATGGCTTCATACGTGCGGTAAGTTAATTATTTCCGATCTGTTAACCTTCAAAATATCAAGATAAATTTTCTTCGACTGGAAACACTGAATTTTCCAGACTTTCTTTTATAAACAACACCCATGTATACCGACTCAGGAGCGCTAGAACTCTCTTCTAATGTTTACTATTGTATTGCAATAATAATCACGCTGACGTGTCCATGATAACATCGTTTTTGATATAAATGATTTTGTCGAACAGTACGACACGCGGCACTACTTCGCGTTCATTGATTTATTTATGGGATTAATATTGTCTACCTAAACTCGTTTAATAAGTAAGTTTGTCGTTTAGAAGCGGTATAAAACAAATTGCATTATACCGACTTAATATGAGTACTGTTTGATCCCTCTTTGCATTCATCAAGAATAAAATGTAATTAATCTCAATGAAATTTATACCTTAGCAGTAATTATTCCAGAAGATTTGTTAAATCTGTAAAAATGCATATTACAGGTTTGGATTACTGTTTTTATTAGTCTGTTCTCCACTGTTTGTGAATGCAGTAAACAGAGATACGTTTAAAACATGTGAACAAAGCAGCTTTTGCAGGTGAATTGTTAAGTTTTTATATATATTACACACACTGTTTATTTGGAATGTAACTAAATTTATATTTTGCAATGTAAAAATAGACGCTGCAGAAAAGTTGAACCTGGGAAGACACCGTACCAGCTTTTAATAGATACATTCAATTTCAATGAATCTACTGTGAATGTAGACTTGTTTAATAAGGATACAGGTGTTCTCTATGTACTGAAGCTAACTGCCTTAAAGGACAATACATTCAGACTTCGTATCAATGAAAAGAATCCATTGCATCCTAGATACGAGCCTGAACATGCCCTTCAAGATCAACCTCAGACAGCTGAATTGACTTTGGTTGAAAGAACTGTGGATCATGTAATCGTAAAGAATGGAGAGAATAAAGTTATATTATATGCTTCGCCGTTTAGAGTGGACCTGTATTCTCAAGATGTATTAGTTGTGTCTGCTAATGCTAGAGGTCTTATGAGATTCGAGCATCACCGCACAAAGCCTAAGTATGTTCAATGAATATTATTTTATATATTAAAACCTGTGTAACAATAATTTTTTTTTGCGTTAACAGCAAACCAGAGCAAGAAGAGAATGCAGAAAATGTTGAAATAGCGAACAATACTCATTTTCCGGGCGATGGAGCTGAAACTGATCCAGGTGCATGGGAAGAGAACTTCAAAACGCATCATGACTCAAAGCCTTTCGGTCCAGAAGCAATAGCACTGGACTTTAGTTTTCCTGGATCAGAGCATGCGTATGGAATACCAGAACATGCTGATTCTTTTGCTTTGAAATCAACGAAACAAGCTCATCCATACAGATTGTACAACTTAGATGTATTTGAATATGAAATCAATGAAAGAATGTCGATCTATGGAGCCATACCGGTTCTCTATGCTCATGGCAAAGAGAGGACTACCGGCGTTTTCTGGCATAATACCGCGGAAACATGGATTGACATTTTGTCAAGTGCTGATAATAATGTCGTAGAAAGTATTGTAAACTTTGTATCAGGTTCCACTAAAAAGTCGCAGGTTGATGCACATTTCATGTCTGAGTCCGGTATCATTGATGTATTTTTTATGTTGGGTCCTAAACCTTTGGATGTATTTAAACAGTACACCACTTTAACGGGCACAGCGCCATTGCCACAAATATTTACTCTAGGATACCATCAATGTCGTTGGAATTACAATGACCAGGATGATGTCATACAAATAGCAGAAACCTTTGATGTACATGATATACCTCTGGACGCTATGTGGCTGGATATTGAATACACCGATAGTAAAAAGTACTTCACCTGGGATGGACGCAAGTTCCCAAATCCCATTGAAATGATACACAACTTGACGGCGAAGGGTAGAAAATTAATTGTTATCATCGATCCACATATCAAACGTGATTCAGGTTATTTCGTTCACAACGACGCTACCAAATTGGGATACTACGTTAAAACAAGAGATGGAAAAGATTATGAAGGTTGGTGTTGGCCAGGTTCGTCGTCGTACTTGGACTTCTTCGATCCAAAAATACGGGAATATGTTATACAGCAGTATAGCTTAGATAAATTCCATGGCACTACTAATGATGTGTACATTTGGAATGACATGAATGAGCCAAGCGTGTTTAATGGTCCTGAAGTTACTATGCCTAAGGATCTCATCCACCACGGTGGATGGGAGCACAGAAGTATCCACAACATCAATGGACTTCTTGTACATATGGCCACATACGAAGCTTTGTTCAGACGTTCGGGAGGTTCTCTACGGCCTTTTATATTAACGAGATCCTTTTTTGCCGGATCACAACGTTATGCGGCCATGTGGACCGGCGACAATACGGGGGAATGGGACCATCTTCGGATAAGCTATCCAATGTGTCTTAGCATGGCTGTCTCTGGAATGTCATTTTGTGGTGCAGATGTCGGAGGTTTCTTTAAGACACCAGACAGTGAACTTTTTATCAGATGGAACCAGGCTGGAGCTTGGCTTCCGTTTTTCCGCCAGCATTCTCATATTGAGACTAAGCGTCGTGAACCTTGGACATTCAATGAAGAAACTACGCAAATCGTCAGAGAGGCATTCAGAATGAGATACTCGTACTTACCACTATGGTACACTGTCTTCCGAGAGCATGAAGTAAATGGTACCCCAATCATACGACCATTGTGGGCTCATTATCCTAGCGAGACAGAAACATATACCATCGATGATACATTGCTAGTTGGTGATTCTATACTTGTACGTCCAGTCTTTCAACCATCCGTGACCGATGTTAACGTATACTTTCCCGGAGAGGGCAAGGTAACTTGGTACGATGTCGATACCATGCAACCTTATCGTCAGTCAGGTTTGGTTAATGTCCCTGTGACCCTTCATAAAATTCCGGTATTCCAAAGAAGTGGTACTATCGTTCCACGCAAGATGAGAATACGTCGTAGCACGGTCCCAATGAAAAATGATCCATACACTTTGGTAGTCATCGCAGATTCTACCGGCAAAGCAAATGGTACATTGTATATTGATGACGAAGCTAGCTTCGAATATCGCCATGGAAAATATTTGTATTTGAAATTCAACTTGGAAGGAAATAAATTAACTTCAACATTCATAGATAAATTAGCTTCATATCAGACAGAAAGTTGGTTAGAGAGGGTAGACATAGCAAATCCACCTCAGGGAGTCACATCTGCTGTGTTAACATCACGCAGTAAGTAATTATAATTTATGTAAATATTTAAGTATTGAATTCAGTAAATGAAATGCAAATCGTTCCTTTCAGGCTTGGGAAAAGTTACTTTGGAGGCCAAGTACAATCCAAATAATAACATATTAACCGTGCGTAAACCAGGTGTAAATATGGGAGAAGAATGGACTATTGAATTGATTCACTAGAATCACAGTTTTATTCATCGTAATCTCAGTAATCATACAGTAATGCCAGTTTTCTATTACCCACGTAATTTTTTCAGCTGTCTGTGATCGAAGGGACATTGTATACTATAACAGAACAAATAGAACGTAGAGAGATATGATGTAAATGATATACTTATTACTTTGGCGAATTAAACGATTATTTCTATTTGATAAAGTAGTAGGCATTAAGAAACCATTAATTCAGCAGCTGCTAAAGCTTTATAATCATGCACGTCATCTTTAAGAAAACAATGTATTAGAGATAGAAATGTCACAAACATATTTCGGACAAATATTTAAATTAATCCTAATATATCGACCCCTACTGCTTATATATTTCGGAATTCTTTTGTTCTACCTTTTACAAATGTGTTCCTGAATCAAAAGAATAATTTAATCGTATAATATAACTTCCTTGTATTCTAAGAAACGGTAAATATAAAATACAGATAACTATCTTATTTTAATTAAAAAAAATGTTTTATTATATTAAACACGTTCTGCCGGTGCTTGCTTATGAGCTAAATACAAAAACACTATTGAGGATAATGCGGATACTAAGAAGATTACGTCGAACCACCTATGATAAAAATTAAATTGCAATTCTCCTAGAACTTGGGTGATTATGATACGATATTCCGCAGGCATGTTCATCCGCATTAAAAGTACAGACGATACGAAATACATACCCTAAAAAAAAAGTGTCACCAAACATTATTTTATTTGCATTAGTGTTAAAAAAAAGATGATCTTACCATTATTTGAGCAAGTATAAGTACAATAATATTCGATGATTTACTACTCGATATAGCATAAAAAAACTGAAATAGTAAGAGATCCAATCATATTTTACAATATTAATGTAATATGTACAAATTACACTCAATAAATATCAGACACTATTGTGTAAAGACAACGAAATATTTCATAAATGTACCTTCGTAAGAGTCAGTAATAAACCACGAATTGATGTTAAGACAATGCAGCCGACAAGATAAAATGAAATGTGCTGCGACCAAAACGTAACATCAATGTTAAAACCCATCCAATGAACAGCAATTTCAATTGCTCTGGTTACAGGATCCTTCCTGCCCACGCGATCGAACACTATGTTAATTGTTGACTAAAAGGAGACAATTCGAATTACTATGATCGAGTTACACGTGTTTAATGTACCGACGGTGACACTTACAATGAATATCTTCCAAGTACAATAGGCAGAGAAGAAATATCCCAAAACATTGAAATATTTTCCTTGCCAAGTAGCTGCCCATTCTAAACGTTCTCTGGCGTTCTGAATGTCATGTGCTTCTAAGAATAATTGTCGAGACAATTCCTCTAATGCCATCACTTCTGCTTGTAACTGTTTAATACCTAAAAACTTATGCTATTATGAAACAAGTTGTTTCAGATATATCAAAAGCATTCGAAAATAAAAAAAAAAACATACTCTCTTGATTACTTTTGGTGCCACTTAGAGGCCCTAGCATACCCCACAATCTAGACCGTGCTTCAACCTGTCCTACAACTTCTCCTTTTTTAGTCAGGGCTATTCTTTTTTTCTTGGCAACAATCATGTCCATTGTTTGCAATAGTCGCCTTTCTATAGCTTGTACATCAGCATATGTCACAGGCCTCATAAAATAAGCCATAGAGGTATATGGATAATTTACAGCACCAAATCCTGATAGAAGTGCCATCACAGTCACTCCAATTACTCCTATTCGGCTAACACCCTGCTCAATAGACAGTAGACCCTTTTTCGGACTTAAAATTGGAAATGGATCTCCCACTTTCCAAAAGAGATACAGATAAAAAAGATATATAATCACTGTTAATGGCCTTATTAATTTCAGTCTTACTACAGAGAGAACAAAGTCAAAGTCAATAACAGTTATGTAAAATATGAAGTGTAATCAACTGTGAATCATACATACCAAATCTAATATTACTGATAATAAAGTATGCTATATAAAATGGAATCAGAACGATTACCATAAATAAAAGCATATAGAGGCCAGTATTCCAATGAAAATATCTAGAACTAAATTATATATAGTATTAAGAAACAATATTTGAATACACCAGGTATCATTTGCTTACCTAGAATCGAGAACTCCTATTATTTCAAAAATAATGAGCTCAAACATAGTACAAGACAATGCAAACGTTGTGGAGAAAATTAACTGTACTAATCTGTGGTGAACTTCGTAATCTCGAAATAACTTTTTTACAAAAAACACCCATCCTCCTAAGAAGAAGATGACCTGTAATGCGTAATATAAACAAATAGGAAAATATCTACAATTGAAATCACTAATTCCGACAATACACAATCGAGTTACAGAAGATTAAATTGAAGAATTTATCACTTTATGAAATAAATCGCATGATTTAAAACCACTAATTTATTGCAGCAGTATTAGATAAATACAATCGATATAAATTACATGTGCATAATACAATTTACTATCTTACTTAATAAATGAAAAATGAACATATCGCGTTGAAAGAACTCCATAAATGAGTACAATAAAAAGTTTTTAGTAAAAAGTCAACACGGTAGATCTCAGGAGGGTATAAAAAATTTAACAGTTTAAATATTTTATTCGTAACAAAATAAATTCATCATTATGCGAGACAACGGTTACAATTATTTTCCATTCAATGAAAACTAATCGTTCATAACCTAATTGTGTAACGTCTACGAATACCGGCAGCAGTATTTATACTAGTGGAAATGAATTTCCACCTGTGTAACAAGAATCACGAATGTATCCTCCAAGAAACCCATGTCTTATTAGTAATGCCGCGCGCGCTTCGCATTGCGAAGCTTCGAATTGCTGTTCTGGCACTTGACAGAACGGAGCGATAAAAACAATCCACTAGCACAGTAATGCCAGAATCGTGGAACTTGGTTCCACCACCACGACGTCCCGGCGCCCTCCACTTTATTCCACAGTTTCTGCTGCCTCCAAGGAACTTTGCTTCTATGTGTGTGAGCTGGTCGTTGGGGTGTTCCGCCGCTACCTGCGTCACCCGACAATGTAAAGAATGGGGAAACCTTGGAAACCCTGTTCGAGAATCTCACTGGGCCGAAAATTCACGTTTTCGACGCGATGCCCGGCAACCTAAACGCGTGAGCAACAGTCGGGAGACCCCGTTCATATCCCACTGTGGCGTTTTACTTTTTATATTTAATTATTTCATAATTTCTAAAATAAAATCGGATCAGGGGTCAAAAGTCCCTATTTAATGGATGCAAAAACTCTGTAAAAAATCCGATAGGTAGTATTTACTGGGGCACATTTAATAAATTTTGCTCGATTTTTTTAGTTGATGTTCGGACTTAAAAATAACAAGATACAACATATATATCAGTCTCATAACTTTAAAATATCGGGTTAAGAGTCTGGGCATTAAAGGATTATATAAATGTATTATACAATTGTAAATATTTCCATATCCAGTAAAACAGGATATAAATTGTAGAAGTCGAATTAACTTAATTAAAACCGTGCTACACTCAATATATGAAAGCAGACTGACTGCAAAATATTCTCGGTGAAATAAATGAATGCATAAATCATACAGCACTCTTTGTGTTCACATCCTCTGTTTTCTTGTTCAAAAAGTTAATAATGCATAAAATGTATGTGGATAGAAGAATGAAAGTTGCGTAAGAAAAATCTGTCACCTTATCATGTTTACAATTACAATATAACAAATTCGCGTTTATTTCATCGTACGATTTACAAAAATTGTAATTAAATATATTTGCTTATGGTACATTTCTCGGTAAATTGTGATGATTTCAACTGTTTTCAACTTACATTCAAATTTTCCTTCGAGTTTTCCATTGATGATTCCTTAATAGACGTGTATTATTCATCGATGGGATCTGTTTGATAAATGTGTGTTTAATAAATAAGAAATTTCTTTAGCTGTTTAAAGCCTCTTAATGGAAATTACTATGTAGTATACCAAAAAATACTTCTTCATTTTCTTCGCTATTCAGTTCCTTGAGTGCTTCTCTGTACCTATTAAGTATTCGATCCGGCGGAGACGTCTTAGGTAGTTTTTTCGTGTATTGAAAGGTTTTTCTCGCAGGTGTTAAGCCTATTTTATATTAATCGAATCAATAAATCGTATTTTTTTAAATGCAAAACGGTAAAGAACGAAGTCATACCTGTCGGAACATCACGATATAAATCTTCGACAAAGAATTTATCAACTCGATTGCGTATGGCATGCATCTCTGCAATAATCCTGCTGTTTGTAGTACTGGTATTCAGATTTTCAGTTTCAAGTTTCTGACTCATTTCTATGCAAGCATTTGTAAATGCTGTTTTCCAACTATTTAAGGATCTTGAACGTTCGTTGCCTATGTTATAAACTGTCGTATATACATCCTACAAATTATGAACATTAAATATAAATTTGAGGAATATAATACCTGTATAACCACATTAAATGTATATAATGTTCCAGCTTACGTTAATTAATGATAAAATAAGACTTTGATCTTCCTTCATTTTCCGCTGCATTTCCCACAGATTACGTTCCACGCAATTTTTGTAATTTATTAATGTGCTACAATTATTGTTTAACTTTGTTTCAAACTCACTGATGAATGCTTTACCTCGGACAACTGAATTCTCTGACATTATCTGCAGCTGCATAACGTAGTCAATGTCACATTATTAGAACCAAAAAGTGGAACACCTATTTCCTAATATACTTCTACGGTAATTCTTATACTTCACCTTTTCTGTTTCCTCTGAGATAACGCATTTCATTGTTTCTAAATCATGTTGAAGTTTTTCTTCTATATTGTTCTCTTTCTCTGCCTTTATTTCATTGACGTTTAAAGTTTCATTATTTATAATATTACAAGTTTCTTTAATACTGTTTAATGTGCCACATATCGATGAATGTGTCTCCTGATGTTCTTGCTGTACCTCATTGAAACTATGTTGTAAATTTTCCATCATCTGCAAACACAAACTATTCAAAATACGACACCTGCAATATTTCGAAGAATACGTACCCTTGCGAAGTTACACCGTCTTTCCATAATACTAGTTTGGCTTTGCCGAATGTCTTCAATATCGCTTCTGATACCCTGAATATTATTATGTAAACGATCGTGCTCTTTAATCGAATAGTTCGAGATTGAAAATATCAAGCTTTTCGCAGTTTCCATCAAATTATCAATTTTCTGAGAAATATCATCATTCAAATCTTTTAAGTTTTGACCTATTTTATTGTCTATTAGTTGTTGTATTTCCTGCGTGGTATAGGAACAAACATTGTTTACTATATTATACGTCTGCGCAGCCATAGTACAAACGTTCTCGCCTTCTTTCTCAATCCATTCTTGATACCTTAAATGCTAAAAAAAAAAAGACAACTGCAATTCATAAACAATAATCCGAATTAATGGTCTGTTTATACAGACCAGATATGCAAAGAACGAGTAGGGAACAAGACAGTAATACGAAAAAAAGAGTAAGAATTATGGACTGTATTGTGCTAATTTCATTTGGTTACTTACAGAATTCTTCATATTCTTCGTCAGTGTATCAGTTGTATTTTTCGTTTTATTAACAAATTGATCGGAAATATCTTGAATACTTTTATCAATACGCTCACTAAGTGAAAGGGTTTGCGCATCTGATAAGGTAAAATAATATATATTTAATTCTAAACTGCACTCCGTTGCTTAAATAAACACTACTTACTAATATACTCATTCAAAGATGTGTAGAACTGTGTCATTGTATCCGCATGACTTGAACAATTTCCTTCGATCTTCCTGCATCGTTCTTTAAGATTGTTTTTAATTTGTTGTCCAAGGGAACTGTTTTGTTGCCCTATTTGCCTGTCAATGCAAACCATAAACTCTTCATACACTATCACAATGACTTACATTTTATACTACAGGCGATAACTCACATTTTCCGATAAATCTTGTCATGAAGTTTATGTACATCTGTAGTTGCTGTATCAACGACATCTAAAACTGATTGTACTTGTGACAGAAGAACACTTTCAGTAGAAGCATGCTTTTCCACCAGATACTTCTGCTCATCCTTTTCTTGTTCCGAGATTGCCAAACGTGATTGTGCACCCATTAATGTGTATGTTGTAGTTTCCAGTTGACCTTTTATATTTACCAGTTCATTTGCTTGTTCAGAAGTTTTCGATTTTAATTGGTTAAATATTTGCTAAAATGATAATCATAGTGAACAATAAGTGATTAGTATGCTTTTATACATATCATTATTAAGAAATACCTCTTTATAGTGTACAGTGTCTTCAAGTGCTTTAATATGATTCAATTTTTCTTCTATTTCTTTGTTCTGAAAATCTATTAACGATTGCATTTCATTGTAATTGTCTTGGGCTAAGTACACGCCATTTCGTTCGCGAGTTGCTAACAAATCTTTTTTCAACTTTTCAATTTCTTCTGCATACTCTTGAAGTAATGCTTTTTTTGAGAATTTCTGGTTAATTTCTGGCCGATTCGTAATATTCTTTGCTCGATGTGCATAGTCCAAGGTGGACAATGTTTCTTCAAGATTAATGCTAGCAGGTGATACTGTAGCAATTATTGATGTTCTCGTGCGACCACCCAGTGATTCTTGAAGCAATCGTGTTAACTTTGATTCTCTGTACATTAAATAAAATGGAAAATTCTGAAGATCTGATTGCATCTTTAACAGTAAATATCTAGATTTGTATGTTCCTTACCGATAGGGAATATGTGGAGTTTTTTCTACGAGCGCTGTTATGACCCTACCTAAAGTTAACAAGGATTGATTAATACTGCCTGCTTCCCTGGCTCTTTTATCAATGGCTCCAGATCTTCCAATATTTTCACTACCCGCTAGATCAACTAGATTTAGCTTTCCTGTTTTTAACAGTTCTTCCCCATCAATAGTATTCTCCTTTATATGAACAGTGATAGAAAATATTGTATGAGACCGACTGAAACAAAGAACACAAATGGTACATTCTACTAAGGACAAATTATCAATAAGTAAGTTCATTACAAACCTTGAGTTTGCATTCATTAATGTAGCTGCTGTCTGCCGTTTCTCTGATCCTTTCTGAAGGATTTTGAATACATCCTTTTTATTGTATATGGTCACTTCTTCTAAACCATGCACTATTACTGCACCTTTTTTAGTTGTATCTTCATATATCCTTTTTACATATCATATATAACATAATGTACATATAATTACATAAACATTACATAAAAAGGTATAGGACTATAATTACCTTATCTTTGCAGCTTCATTGCTAGAAGACAATAAATCATATACTTCCTCGTTATACAGTTCCAAAAAGCTAACTCTTACAGAGTAATCTTGTACCCCTATTATACGTAATTCATCAAAAAGGTGGCTTAAAGAACGTGGTATAATCCCAGCATTGGTATCCTATACAAATTATATATAATTGCCATATCATAAAAGCATTGTTGTCATTTTTATAAAAAGAATTCTTTTTGGAAGACCTAAATTTTTCTAATAGATTTCTCATTTTAAGCTATACTCACTGCTTGCCAATGTAATGATGGATCATTATCAAGACCTTCCATAGTAAATGTTTTCCCAGTACTAGTTTGACCATAGGCAAACACTGTACAATTATATCCAGCCAAAACTTCTTCCACCAAGGGACAAGCGACAGCATTATATACTTCAATCTAAGAGTTTATTAAGAATAATTAAAATGTTTTGATACATAATTTGAGTTGAAAGCACACCTGTTTTGAAAATGATCCAAATACTCTGTCAAAGGTGAATTTCTTTGTAAGTTTATCGCATGGCCTTTCGCGAACAACCACTTCTCTGTTAGACGGGGTGTCTACCACTGTTATCGACTTCCCAGCCCTTTCGGCATTATTTACCGGTCTGACGTGAAACAAATTAACATCAATGATAACACTGCACTTTAAAGTAAAATCTGGCGAACGCCTAATAATTTGAAGGACAATCACCTGACACGAACGAAAACTTGTATATGTTGTTTTCTGTCTTTCTTTCCGTTACGTGTGTCATTCATCTTTAGTCAATTAATATTCCTTGCACTTGCTTCAGTTTTTTGATTATTTTCATTCATACGTTCGGTTTTATTTCGTGGAGCAACTAACTTTCGTATTATGTACGCACAAACGCTACCCCGCTCGCAGTTTTAACCGTTGAAAAGTTTGAATGGTTTAAATCGGCCGCTTCACGTACATACAGTAGAGATGGCGTGAACTGCTACTTGTGAATCACTCGTGATTCGATCACGTTCGTTCCCAATCACGATGATTTTTCAGAGTGATTCGTGATTTCCCGTGATCGTTTCTTATTGGTGGAGAAACCTAACAGTTCTTTACACACGATACATAATTTGTATATTTCACATTAACGACATCAAAACAAAAATTAGGGTTATATCGTATAAAGTGAAGGAATAAGTAGAAACAATGAAGAATAATGAATAAATTCATGATTACAAATTATAATCTACAATTTCTTGTTTTTTCTACTGATGTTTACAAACACGAATAGTAATGTAATTATCGTAAAATCATATTGAATACGTTTTTCTGTTTAAAGATCAAGGACTTACGATCGCAGTGAGCAAATTCACCCAAGATAGAAAAATCGCAATCACGGTTGTGAATGAAGTTAAATCACGACCGTGATCGTGATTCGGCGATCACTGTGATAAATCACCGTTAGTGATTTTGCACGCCATCTCTACCCAACACACAAGTTGTTTCTGCGTTGAGAGACAATAAAATACAATGCTATACTTTATCTATTTATTTAAATATTTAATATAAAATTGAAAATATATAAACATAAACATATGTTTAAATTCCAAACAATATCCGTCATATAAGATATACACGATAAATAAATATGTATGTCGGGACTTGATTGTAATTTGCGCGTTAATTTTGAATATTGAAGTTTGTTAATAATTTATTGATTATTTCAGATGTTCAGTTTTGATGTTTAATTTATCGATCCTAAGTTTTGTAAATAATTTTATTAATAAATTTATCGTTGAGTTCAGCCGTGTGTACTTTTATTTATAAATCGTTGAAATTCTAATTGTACATCATACATCTCACACACACGGGGTCTCTTCAGCATGCTTCGGGGGCTCCATGACCCCACATTCTCAGCCCACGTGTCAAAGGCGCCTCCACCGGGGCCTCCGTGCAGAGTCTATGGCGCCTCCACCGGGGCTCCGTGACCCCACGCTCTCACCGCGCAGGCTCTATGCTGCATCTACCGGGGGCTCCGTGACCCCGTTACCATTTTAGTGTCAATACCCGACAATACTGCAGTTACATCGATACCTCCTGTTTTACAAAGACTCACAATTATCTTAGAAGTAACTTAAATTTAGACGCTTTAATGTTTATTTTCCTTGGTGGATGTCTTCTTTCTTAAGTCTAACTGAAAATAAAATGAAGATCCCATGAAGGGACTGATGAAAGGAGCTAATGGCTGCGAACTTTGATTTAATTTATTTAGTTATGAGAATGAATCTAAGATCGAATACTTTTCGTGAAATAAGTCATTACTAGGTTATTTATAACATATAAATATTAAATAAAATATTTTTATATATAATAAAATCAAAGAATTCGTTTATTTGCACCTAGATTATGTATAATCAAAATATAGTGGTTATTTATGTTTTAGCAGCATTTCTACTTCAAATTAGATATGTTCTGATGTATTCATTGAATAATAATATTTGTTACTGCAAATTATATAAGCACAATGTGGACTATTTACAAATTGATTAAACAGTAATTTACATATGACCACTGCATATGTTATTAAGTACAGTCATTTTTTGTATTAATTCATGATGATACTTTGCCTATGATAGAATCATATAAATATATGCTCCTTATAGTATTTTAATTCTTTTATGCTCTCCTTTACATCCGACAAAGCTCTGTGATTATGTTTCTTTTCAGGTACATTTTCATAAATCACAGGATTCCATCTTCTATAAACAAATGTCACGATATACTTACAAAAATAACACAATTGTAATTAAAGTATAGGAATATTATAACTGTATGTAATTTTTTTTTACCTAACAACTTCCTTAATTGTGCTAACATCAATAATTCTATAATGAAGATAATCTGTAACTAATGGCATGTGTTTCAATAAAAATATACGATCCATACAAATTGTGTTACCAGCCAATGGACAAGTTCCTTTTGGAATATATTTCTTTAAAAAATTTAATAACATTTCTTCTGCTTCTTTTAGGCTAATTTTACTAATTTTAGATTCAGCTGTTAGTCCTGTCTGAAAATGTATGTAACTTGTGACAAAAAATAAATTTCATTAAAACAACTTTACTGTAACAAAAATTCATATACTTTTGTATGATGTAATGTAGACCATTCTTGCATATTTTCCAAAATAGCATCTGGCAGATTAATTATAACGTGGAAACCATCGCTGAGTATGTTTAAGTCTTTATCAGTTATTAAACAAGCAAGTTCCACAATAGTATCTTTTTCTATGTCAAGACCCGTTAACTGAAAAAAAATGTATATATGTAACTATTTAAACATGAAATAAAATAAAACAATATTGATTATATATATATATATGTATACCTCTGTATCTATCCAGACAATGTGATCTTCTTTGTTATTCATTATGAATCTTGGAGAAGCACTACAAAATTAAATTATATTTCCTATTGTCTTAACAAATTTGAAATAAGAAATATTTAGTAGTAAACAGCAAGAGAAGGTTATGTTACCATAACCTCGATAGATAACTTGTAGGTTATTGAATCATTGTTAATATGTACTAAATTGACACAGAAATTTTAAACTTATATAACGAATATATATAACACTTATATATATACACATGCGACTAACCTCAAATTTTTACACGTTTCCATATAACCAGATATTACACGCTCCGCATACTTCCTTTCCCAGATACAGAGTATGTAACCCGTGTACTAAGAATTAATTTTAAACAGAATATAAATCTGTATTCATGCACGTTTCACAAAGTAAGAATAAATAATTCGTATCTTCTTATTCAGTACGAAGCAAAAGCATATTTGGTAACATTTACTGAAACTAAACAAAAGATGGTAGTACAAAAACAAAATATTTTACATTTGTTGCAATTTAAAATAAATTATTGTATTGTTACTGATCTAGAGTTTCAATATTAGTTCAAATATCACTTGATTTTACTTATTCAAAACATGATTCAATGTAGTTCATAACATGCGTTCATTCAGCAAGGTGTTTAACGTTATCGCGGGAAACTGAGCCTTTATACGTAAAATGTTTAAAATTTAAACTTTACAGTTATTTATTTAAGATATGACCGTGAAATATGTATGTACGCAGTAGTACTTTAACGCTCAAATATCTAAATATCTATCCGGCAACTAGCAAAATTTTAATACTCAAATCAAATTCGACCGTTACACGTGGAAAGAATAGGATACGAACTTTGAAGATATTTATAAAAGTTGATCTTATTTGCATTATAGTAAGAATATCTGTGAAATTTTATTTTGAATGCACTGAAATAGTTAACGAGTATAAGTTTTTCCATCTACGGAAAGCCTACATCTAATCTACCATTAAAGGAAAAGGACTAGAAATAGTGAACAGAGATAGTCTCTTCGTTATAGTATTGTTGGCCCTGAAAAGGGCCGTTTTTTTGTTTTTTCGTTAAACTGTAAGAAACGCAATTTAAGCTCTTTCTCCACGGATTCTACGAGCAAGTTGAATGTCCTTGGGCATGATGGTCACTCTCTTGGCGTGGATGGCACACAGATTGGTATCTTCGAAAAGACCAACAAGGTAGGCCTCGCTGGCTTCCTGAAGGGCCATGACGGCAGAGCTCTGGAAACGCAAGTCGGTTTTGAAGTCCTGGGCGATTTCACGGACAAGTCGTTGGAACGGCAATTTCCTGATCAGAAGTTCAGTGCTTTTCTGGTATCTACGGATTTCACGGAGAGCAACGGTTCCTGGACGATAACGGTGAGGCTTCTTCACTCCTCCGGTAGCCGGTGCACTTTTACGAGCGGCCTTTGTAGCCAATTGTTTCCGTGGTGCTTTACCACCGGTCGATTTCCTTGCAGTCTGCTTGGTACGAGCCATCGTAGTTGGTCAGCGAGAACGACAAAGCTTCGAGTACTTTCAGCGAGAGATCAACTGAAAATGATGATTTTCGGCCTGTAAGCATCCGGTTATATAGCCTGTAAGGCGCTAGCTGTGAGTGCCTGATTGGTTGACGCTAAGTGGAGGGGATAACTACGCCAGATGTTCACCGCTCCGAACTAAACAGGAGGGGGGATCAGCTTCTGAATCTATAAAGGCAAGTGTAAAAGGGCTGCGTGGCACACGTATCATTTTCTCTAGTTCGCTCCACGTGCATTTTTCAAGCGTACATTTCTTTTTCGGTCAAGGAAGTAAATTCAAAGTCATTCTTGTTAATATACCCACGTTGGTGTGGTAAGAGGCTCCGAAACTCACGTAGTTTCACTTTACTCCAGATTCATTTTAATTTATCGGTGAGAGCGTGAACAACTCCATTCACGATGACTGGACGTGGAAAAGGTGGAAAGGGACTGGGAAAAGGAGGCGCAAAGAGGCACAGGAAAGTACTGCGTGATAATATCCAAGGTATCACCAAGCCGGCTATTCGCAGATTGGCGAGGAGAGGCGGTGTGAAGAGAATCAGTGGCTTGATCTACGAAGAAACACGTGGAGTATTGAAAGTTTTCTTGGAAAACGTTATTCGTGATGCTGTCACGTACACTGAACACGCGAAGAGGAAAACCGTGACGGCTATGGACGTGGTATACGCGTTGAAACGCCAAGGCAGAACCCTGTATGGTTTCGGAGGTTAAAGGATCGACGGAGAAGAAGAAAAATAGACAATCGGCCCTTTTTAGGGCCTCCAAAATGCTTGAACGTATGATAACTTTTGGGTCTTCTACGCAACACCAAGTACGCAAGACAAATAGTAAAATTTTGATATTGCTTTTTATTCGCCAAATATAATATAGAATTATCTGCCGTGTCAAAAGTTTTTAAAGCGTGTTCCTTTACACGTGAGTTTGCCACTTGTTCGCCTATGATTCATATTAAAACCTTCGAACAATTTTTGCCAAGTTTCTTACAACAGTTAAATATAAGTACTCCAAGTTATATTCTTATAAATATTACAAGTTTTACGGAGACCTCCTCTTTGACGAAAATAAAATAAGTTAACTAATGAATATCTAGATATTAATTTGAAAAAATACTATTTTATCCCGACCTATAATTATTTTTACTTTTACAAACTCCAACTTAGTGTATGATACCTTATGTACTTCAGACTTCATGATTCTATTGTTCAAACTTTCTAAACTTTCCACATGCACGAAAACACGTCAGAATAAGTACTAGCGGAGTTTCAGTACGTTTAAAATTTAAGTCTAATGTACATATAGATATATGTATGTAGTCCTCACGAAAGTGTAAAGACACATTGTATTTACATTAGCTTACACTCTATATTTCTGTAGATACAAAAAATTACCATTCCGAATATACAAAAAAAAAAAACAAAGTTTAATGATAATCAACATAACGTATCAATATATTTCAAATTCCTTCACACCTTCCTTAGCAGAAAGATCTGCCCTATAGCATGCTATGATTAGATTTTCTCCTTAGTTCTTGAAACAAATTAATATCAGCAAAAATTGGTGCTTTTTTGGTGTCCTTTTCACTTTGATCATTATTTAAACACATCTAGATGTCTATAATTCAATAACAATTCACATCATTTTGTACGGGAGAGTTCAGAGAATTATTGCATGCCAAAAGAAACGGAACAACTATTACTGTAAAAGTACAACACACCTCGAAAGCTTAAAATTTGCAATTTCTTTAATTGATTTTTTCAAAAACTGAACGTGCTGGGAACGGTTTTCAGATTCGTATTCAGCTCATAAAGATCTATCAGAAACGCGTCTGAACGGTTATCAGGTGTTTTACGTGTTGAACAATGTATTGAACATGAAATGAGTCGAACGCAGAGACAGGAAGTTCCAACGATCGATGAGAAATTGGTGGCCCTGAAAAGGGCCTTTTGTCTGTCGCCTGAAAATAAGCAAGCTGTGTCCACCCCTCCTTCCCCCGTATAACGTATTCGATATGCACATTGTGAATCTTTATTTCGAGCTGGTGTACTTGGTGACCGCTTTGGTGCCTTCGCTGACCGCGTGTTTGGCAAGTTCCCCGGGCAATAAGAGTCGAACCGCGGTCTGTACTTCCCTCGACGTGATTGTGCTCCGTTTGTTGTAGTGCGACAATCTGGACGCCTCGGCCGCGATACGCTCGAATATATCGTTCACGAAACTGTTCATGATGCTCATCGCACGGCTCGATATACCCGTGTCCGGATGCACTTGTTTGAGCACCTTGTAAATGTAAATCGCGTAGCTTTCCTTCCTCTTCTTCCGTTTCTTGCCGCCGTCGGACTTGCTCATGTTGATGTTCTTCTGGGCCTTCCCTGACTTCTTCATGGCTATACCAGCGGTCTTCGGTGGCATGTTTCAGACGATTTAATGTTTTCGTAGCACGTGTAAATGAACTCTATAAACACACTGAATAACTATCCTAGTGTTCTGTACGGGAGCGTCCGATGGCCCTGCTTTTATAGCGTAAATGGTGAGTTAGACCGCTCCAATTAGATTACATACATTTAGAGGGTACGTATTCTTCGATAATCCGATTGGAGAATTCACGCGCACATGGCGAAGCTTCGTAACGTGTTTGTTTCTTAACTTCAAACTTTCGAACCATAACACGGAACTTGTTGATACGGGAACAGGGGGATACCGGGTTTGACCGTCACCGAGTTATTCCTTTCTTTTAAAACTTTTCTTTTAGAGACTGGAAAGTCCGTTAAACGTAGAGAAGATTTAACCAGGTGCATTTCTATTCGACTGTATTTACCGTTGATTCTTCATTGTTTATATATTCATTCGGGAATTCCTGTATCTGATTGTATAAAGTTTAGCAGAGTTGAGCAAAACGTAATTAATTGTTACGACTATGTGAAATCAGGTCAGTAATCATTGATTAATTAATAACAGAAGTAATCGATGCTATTGTGATCAAAGGACATGATTAACTCAGTAATTAGAGTACACTTTTGATTGTGATTGAATCAGTACTTTAATAGTAACAATTGATACTGTGAAGATTTTTTGTAAAATTCATATTTATTAAATAATAAAATGAACAGACAATTTATTTACATAATGAAAACTGATACTATGATCGTGATAGAGAAGTATAATTTGCTTTTAATATAACTCTCACTCCAAACTTCTATCTAATAGTTTATGTGCCTTCGGTATGTTTATCATTGTTGTTTAAGAACAATTAGAACGATGGTAATCGCGTGTTGTATGTACATTGCTAATTCTTATAGAATCAAAATTAATCATCCATCGAATGATAACAGATTACAAAAGTTATTTATTATTACTGATTTATCTCAATAAGGATTACTTCGATAATCGATTACAGAAGCAATCACAAAACAGTTAATTACTGCCCAACTCTGAAATATAGATAATACTCGTGTATAAATTACATACTTAACGTACTTAATATTGAAATCGTTTCTGTTTACTTTCATCCGAGAAAAACATCGGACGAACGGAATAACACGGGAATATTGTACTCGAGGGAAACTTTTAATATACAATTTATTTCAGTTAAACAGCGTTACGATAGAATTTTAAAGCGCTTCGAAATGCACACGGTCCTCTGCGTCACGGGGAAATCGATTTCACGGAGGAAACCGAGAAATCCGTTTCTGCGTAGTATCTGCGTCGTGAAAAGAAGACCCTCGGCGGCCCTTGACGAAGGAAAGGGACGAACCCCCGTTGTTTCGAGAATAAGGTAGGGTCAACTTTCAAGGACAAATGGAAACGGTTAGACACCTCGATTTCGAGACTCTCAAAACTTTCGGAACTCGAAATTCTCTGAACTTGAAGTACTGTGATTTTGTTTTTATAAGAACGTTTTGTTCTGAAGAACTGGAGTCTCAAAGAAATTTGTTCATAAATCTTTATTGATCATAGTTAAACAAAACACAACAATATATTCACTTACCCTTTTTTCTTTAGCACTAACACTCGATAGTTCAGCACTTCCTACTTTTTACTGCACTTCTTTTTGCAGGTTACACCGTTTCACAATTTTGGTAATTATTATCGATTGCATGACAAATGGAGTTACAGAGAGTTTCGTGGTCATCACTTCAAGAAAACGGCCCCGAAGGCCAAGGTCTTGGGCCCTTTATCGTTTGGAACAAATCGGGGTGCTCTTTTGGAAACGTTGTAAGATCCTGGACGGCGGGAGGTGCGCCTCGGTGTCCACTTTCGTGGAACAGGTATACGTATTTCAAATGTTCTAACCGGGGTTCGAAGATCCGCATCTTCGTCCCCGGATATACAACCCAGCTTGAATAGATACATCAATAGTTTCCGAAATTTACAATTCGCCAGGGGGTGAGTTAAGAGAAAGTGGATGCTGTATATAAGAAACCGAAATGGACGCTTCTTGCCACAGTTCACCATGATTTTCGCAAACGTCAGGTTCTTCGTCGTCGTCGTATTGACGGTGAGTGTCAACGTACTCTGCAGTCCGTTGTTCAAAATCATCGACAAACCGAACACGTATCTGACCAGTAACAGCTCGAGCAATGGGAAAATCAGCAGCGCGGGACATTTCTCTGTGACCGAAGGTATGGTAATCAGAAATGGGAAAATTCATACTCTAGATAAATAGTTTCGAATAACGAATAGAAGATAAAAAAAAGTACTTCATTATATTGAATCGTTTAACCGTGTAAATTCCAATTTTTATAATAAAATAACACTTCTTCGCGGAATAAGTCTAGGGCTGTTACGATATTCGAAGTATTCGAAATATTCGGATTATTCGAATACTTACAGTTCTACTCTCGACGCATGAAACCATTCGATTTCGAACTTCAGATACTAATTTTTTTGAATTTTTGTAAAAATCAACAGAGGATCTGGACGGTAAAAGAATAGTCGGAGGGAAATATGCGATGAGTAATCAATTCCCTTTTATGGCTGTTGTCCACCGATTGATGGGCGGTGGAATGGTTTCGCAATGCGGCGGGTCAATTATCTCTCACCGATGGGTATTAACGGCAGGACACTGTGTGGCTTATAAACCCCGTCAATTTCTAGTGGTATTCGGTGTTACCGATAAATACGGCATAGAGTACGATTTCTACCAGGGTCCTGGTATAGCCATGAGGACAGACAAGAGCGTTCTTCATCCTGGCTTTAAACCATCCATAAATGACGTTGGTTTGTTATACATGCCATACGACATTCCATTCGGAGGTAAGCAAATTCTTCATTTTGTTATCGATTTAGCAGGTGCTTAATGTACGGTTTTTTTTTAAATCTGCCAACAAAAGTTTTACATTGTGAAACTTTTAATTGGACATATTTACGCATAATACCTTCGATTTTAGGGGGAAAAACGGGAAATGATATTTTTTATTATGAAAAAGCTTACACTTTAGAAAGTTTAACTGAAATTTTACATTTACTTACATTTTACACTCAACTAAAAATTCAATTGGGTATGATACATTTCAAAACCAGGAATAATATCTACTTACTTTTCTAATTTTCTTATTTTTATCATCTTTCTTTGAGCAGCAAACTGCACACTTTCGGCACGCAACAGCTTTTTTTCTCCGTTGCAAGCAAAAATTTTTAAAAATACCCTCCAGTTAGACTCTAAGGGATTTTCGTTTCAATATGATTAAACGTGGCGTTCGCGTCTTTGAAATATTTATACTGAGTTGATAATGGCGATAGACGTGACATATACGTCGCTGAATATTTCCGACGTCTAGGCGTAGACCAGTATGACAACGTCGCTGTACGTTAAACGGTTAGACAAAAAAATAATATGGAAATATTAATAGATTGTTTACACTTTTCAGCGACAATTCAACCTATTCAATTAGCCGGATATAATAATATCAGAGCGGATTTCACTGATAGAATAGGCACCGTTATCGGATGGGGAAAAGATGGAAATCAGGGCGTGGGGACGAGACTTTTAAAGTACGCGTCTTTACCAATCATTTCGAGCTCCATCTGCAACATGGCCTGGGCTATAACACCGAACAAGCATGTGTGCACGGCCGCTGGTTACGGACAGGACGCTTGCCAGGTAAACGAATATCGTAACAAAATATTCAACTTCGTTAGAGATTTTAAAATGTAACCTGCACCGTTGTACAAACAGTTTAACTCGAGCGCTGTCATTCTTTTACGAATAGAATTATTATCAGAGTCTGGTATTTTAATTGTACTTGATAACATATTATCTTGCACTATGTTTTTTCTCGTTTCTGATTTTTTCATTGATGTGCTGCATCCTATTTACATAGTATTATTCTCTCCAGTATTTTAGACACTATCGGGAGTAATGAGATTTGTCTGTATGATGTAGCCAACTGAACGTCCTTCTTGGAGTTATGTAACATACTTATTCGTGCCAGTTTCCAGATTGTCAGAAATATTTGATTCTGCGTATAGCATTGAATATAATTGTTAGCATCTTCCATGTACTGGATCGTTTCGGACTAAATGTCTACTTGTTACTCGACTAAATTGCTGGACGTGTCTGATCGCTTTAAATTATCGTGGTTCGACATTTGCTGTTTTAATTTCGAAGAAATAACATATAAAGTCGGCGACGTTATTTCGTCTATGGAGGCCATAAAAGTATGGGACTACCTAGGGGACTGCAGACGCACATTCCATATTCCCTCCCGCTGTGCCCGCTCGGCGACCCTTCCGTCCTCCCTCCCCCTTTAACCCTCTTCGCCCGTTCAAGGGCCTTTTCCTCCTTTGTCCCACGAGTCCGTGTGCGTTGCATGCAGGGCTGGTTTAACTTGAGCAAAACAAGCACGTGCTTATGGAACCAAGGGAAAGGGGAGGCACCACAGAAATTTTCCATTGCTAGATTCACCATGGACCAATTTCAACATATACTTTTAATAGTATTTAATACGAATAAACCCTTGATATACTCGTATCAAGGATATATTGCATCTTCGGATTTGGTCATATTAAACATAATCTGTTCTCCTGTTTCTAACAAATACGGGTCTGACAAAAGTTATGACAAAGATATGATGGAATTACAGTTTGGTCAAAAACTTTTGCCAGCAACTGCACGTATATGGGAACACTAATATGGGGGCCTCTCTAAAGGTCTTAATTCAGCCCTGGTTGCATGCGTTTATTTTTCTTGAAAGAACGCGAACCTTCCGTAACGTGATAACAGCGTCTTCGGATCCTCGAAGTTGAAAAGAGTAAAAACAATTATACATAATGTGTTTTTCATTTGCAGGGTGACAGCGGTGGTCCCTTGATCGTGTTGGAGAGATATGTTCCTCTTCAGATCGGGATCGTGAGCTACGGTGATGCGAACTGTCCCAGCACCGAACCCGGCGTGTTCTCGAGAGTAACTGGCTACATCGATTGGATTCAAAAAGTCACGGGACTGTACTATTAAAACAATTCTCTAGATATTGTTACTTTTTAACACAAATACGATGAAAAATGAGACTGTATGGACTTTATGTAAATAAATATATTTGTACTTTTTAACTTCTGCTTGTCTGGGCTCTTATCCAAACGAGTCAAATGAATTACGGAGTCTTTGGGCGGGATCCATAGTCGCACCTCAAGCATTTGCTTAAGAATTTCTTAACAAAGATCGCCTTATTCGAATAAGGTGAACTTAAGACATCGTGTATTCAGAGTCAAAACTTAAGAAGTTCTTATTGAATAAGTAGATCCTTAAGAACTTCTTAGTCAAGCAAATCCTATTTGTTTTTCAAATAGGATATAATTAATTTTACCGTTGATTTATCATTAATATTTCCTTAAGAACTGACTATGAATCACGATCAAATAAGAATTATTTACTAAGTAAATAATGATTAAGTAAATTCTTTAGTAAATTCTTAAATGCTTAAGAATAAAAAGCGACTATGAATCCCGGCCTTTGAGAATTTAAAGCGACAAGACGTTTGGAAATAGAAATCCCTTCGAGTAATTTTCACAAATACATAGAGGATCATAAATACGCCGATCATACTCGGAACTATTCGGAATTTCGGTTTAGGGAATAGCTGAAACGAATAAGAGGGTTATTACGCCGTAGACAAGTAATTTCCTTTTATGGCGGTGGTGCATTGATTATTATTGCAGGCGGGGCTTCTCAATGTGGCGGCGCCATAATTTCGGAGTGGTTGGAACTAACGGCGCCACTGTATACCCAACTCTTCCCGCGTAAATTTTTCCCTCCATCTTCAGTGGCCTTGATAAAACAGAAATAGAGATACGATTACAACTTAGAGATAGTCTGCAATATCACTAAACAGTCATATGTTTATCTTGAGTGAATTTGCGTCACCGTGATCGTAATTCTCAATTGAAATTGATGATTTGAAAATCGAATTACATTGCTGTTTATGTTTTTCCAAACCAGTAAAAAAAACAAGAAATTCTAAAAGACTGATTTGCTAAGCAACGTACAGATTATAATTTATAATCATTAATTTATTCATTATTCTTCATTGTTATTCATTATTTTTTCACTTTATACGATGTAACTCGCATTTTCGTTTCGATGTCATTAATATGAAATATACAGGTTATGTGACGCGTGTAAAAAAACTGTTGTTAGGTTCTCCACCAATCAAAAACGATCGCGAGAAATCACGAAACACTGTGAAAAATCACGTAATCGGGAACGAACGTAATCGGAATCACTCGTTTTGATTCACAAGTAACAGTTCACGCCATCTCTAATTCCAACCATGTGTCTGGTATCTTCATGATGATGTCGCACGTCGTCGTTTATCTGAAACATTATAAATATAGTATGAATAACATTGTATTATTGTACATGCGTCAGAATATCCTGTACAATCGAGCGTATAAAAATGTAACCCAATAGAAAATAAATGAACAATTAGCTAAAAATAACGGCGGTATTGAAGTCCCCATTTTTCTTATTTAATACATCGAATTCTTCGTCTTTAATATTTTTATTACGACTGAAGCCCTAGGGAATTAAAGTACGACTGTCTTACTCGGTTAGTTTCTATTTTTTCTGATACTTCGAATATTCGCATGTATTTGGACTGCACGAAAGTTGTTGGTTCAGTCCTACAAACATTCATAGGTAAAGTATTAACGAAAATACTAAGGTTCTAATAAAAGTACAGAGCGTCGACGCTCAACCCAGAACAGGCTTTAACGGACGTGCTGGTTCCTGAGAAAAAAAACTTCACCCGATACCACAGCTGGCCGGTTCGAGCGAGCCGAGGGGGGACCTTCGTTGAACTGGGGACTGCCTATGTAGCGGGGTGGGAAAAGGACAGCCATGCAAGTCGAGGCATAAAGGGTCTAAAGTACAGCTTGCCTCCCATTATCGACAACGACAAATGCAGCCAGGTAGGCAGATAGATGAAAGGAAGCATATGCACGGCGAGTACCCTCGGACACAATGCCCCTGCCAGGTTATAAACAATTTCGACGAATAAATATTTTAATAAATAATTTGTTCCTTGTATATTTTGAACGACTATGAATCTCTGGTTAAGTTATGGCGACGGAAATTCTCCTAACCGGGAGATTTCACGAGAGTGATAACTAGACTGCGGATATCCTTTGCAAAATCACAATTTCCGGCAGCATTAATTTATCAATATACAAATGAGAGAAATTTATTTCCTCCACTGGATATCTTATGTTGATAATAATATATAAACATCATTACATTTTAGTGATGCCTTTATTCTACTACATTCTGCATACTAAAATTTGCTATAAATGCCGAAACATCCACAGTCTAGTGATAACATTTATTTTAGTGCTACTGGAATCCATTTCTAACTATTTACTGCTACTCGTTCTTTACTAGCCTATGTCATACATTACAGCCAAACATTTCGGAGCACTGTTGAAACTTCAAAACAGAATTTTCGTTTCACATTATGTAATTCGAATGATGTCACCCCCGATTTTATTACATTTTTGGTGAAACACACGTACTCTTGCACGGGAAGCCTTTGTGTTATTTAAAGTGCAAAGATGACTCCGAAATGTTGTGCAGTACAGGATGCTCATAATTTCCTACTAATTAACAATATATATACCCACAATATTTCATGTGGGCCTGAAAATGTTGTTCTTTTTGAAAATAAATGCGAGAGATATTCCTCGTAAAATTTGTGGCTCTGACAAGAGCCGTTTTATAGTTTACTGTTTCTGAACTGTGTCGTTCGGTCTATTTAACGGCAAGGCAAATATTATTTTGTTCGAACGGAAATGTGTCGATATAGGTATTACTTTGGATTGTTTTGTATATTCTGCGCTATTTCTCGTACAAGTCGTTCGAACGACTCCTTCGAAATCAATAACTCGGTACTCTTCTGATAACGGCGAATCTCTTTAAGAGCTTTATTTTTATCCGGTTGTTTAGTTGTGTTCTTTTTTATTTCATTATACTGATTAATACGTGTCATTCTTCTACGGAAACGTAACACACCACTTTCATTCAACGCACGGTTTTCTATTGGAGCAGCCGTTTTACCGACACTCCTATATATGCCCTCGGTGTCGACGCGTAGCAGCTGCCCATTGGCTGGCGGGACAGTGGTGGGGACAGAAGCGGCACGATTGCTATAAAAGCGCCGAAAAGTTGGCTGGGAGCATCAAACGTGTTTCGTTCTCTGTAACCTGAGCATTACAGTTCTTTATCGACTCGCAAAATGACTGGCCGTGGTAAGGGAGGAAAGGGATTGGGAAAGGGAGGAGCCAAGCGTCACAGGAAGGTGCTTCGTGATAACATCCAAGGTATCACGAAACCAGCGATCCGTCGTCTGGCCCGTCGTGGTGGTGTGAAGCGTATCTCAGGTCTGATTTACGAGGAAACCCGTGGTGTACTGAAAGTCTTTCTGGAAAACGTCATTCGTGATGCGGTAACGTACACCGAGCACGCCAAACGGAAGACCGTGACTGCTATGGATGTCGTCTATGCGCTCAAGAGACAAGGACGCACCCTTTACGGTTTTGGAGGTTAAGCAGGACATCATCATCATCATCACCCGACGTGCGATTACCAGCGATCGTCAAAGCAAATCGGCCCTTTTCAGGGCCACAATTCTATAACATAGAAACACTGTCATTCGACTTAACTGCCGTATCTACCTGGATCCCCTGCATGAAAATCCTTGTATTCCGAGTTTTGAAAAATTTTAGTCATTTTTAACACCGTTTACCGATGAGCCAATTTTAATCGACTTTCTGTTCATATGTATATTCAATGATTGAATTCGTATTACATGACTCACCGGTGAATGTGTTAAATTGTTCAATAAAATGAATTTTGTTGTATAAAAAATATCTAAATCCTTTAGTCATCAATTGAAATTCTTTGTTCTACATGTATGAAACATTTATCTTTGTTGCTGCATTCTAAAAATCTATGAAAGTTTTGCATTATTTCAATTTTGAAATCGAAATACTCGGAACAGTAATATGATTGAATTGTACGTTGTAAGAGTAAAATACAAATTCGCTCGGTAAAAGTTTTGTGTAATGCGAAATTCGAGTGTCGATGAGAGAAGTCAACGCGCTGTGGCAGTACGACGTTGCCGGATTTTGTTGACTCGTATTCCTCGCTCTCGTTGTGAATTCTTATGAGGTACAACGTTGCCAGACTTAATCTTTAAGCCGTCAGATTATGGAGTAAGATCAATAAAAAGAATAGAAATAGTTTGTGGCTTTATCGAAAAAGTACCATAACATAACATTTACTTTCTTATGACACAGCAAGAATGGTTATAAACTGTCCTAAATATAATCTGTACAAATTCGAAAACTCACTAATTGTCATTACAGAACTTAACCCTACATGCATTTAGGACAGCTGGCGTTGTTCCACAAACTTCAAGCAGTACGAAATGTGTACTACAAAATTATACAAGTAGGCTCGGCTCCCATAATTAACTTTCTCTTTTAATTTATTGGTAATACTTTTGATTCGGAGAATTATTTTGAGTCGATCGTATATAAAGATACTAGTAACTATTATTGGTTTCTAATTCGAAAATATGAATTTTTACAGTTACCAAGACTGATAATAGAGTACAGCCTCCCGTATCCCAACATCTAATATCCGAGTAGCCTAATATTCGAACTTCTGCTATCCAAATAGGGTCTGTCCCCAGCAACAGATGCATTCTCTAATTGTAAATATGTATACTTTCTTTCTATTATGATTCTACTCAGTTACCTATGTAAAATAATTATCGTAATTTAGCAACAAAAAGATATATAATTCATGAATATTTAAACAAACTCAGTTTTCTTGTTATCCATTTAAATAAAGTTTAATACTGATACTTGTCTGAAAAAGTGATGGTTCTGTTATCCGAATAATATTCCATTTCCCACTGTTCCTGAACATTGTTTTATTAACGGAACAAATATATCCCTATTAATTTTGATACGGGAGTACTCGACTGTACTTGATTTCGGACGAAGCAAGTATTGAAACATTACGGGTGAAAAATGTTGTATGTTATACGAGTTCAAGACTGTTATTCCCATGTATACAAAAATTGGTGGCCCTGAAAAGGGCCGTTTAAAGTTTGGAAATCAGGATTAAGCTTTCTTTTCTGTCTTTTTCGGTAAAAGTACTGCTTGAATGTTTGGCAGAACGCCACCTTGCGCTATCGTTACTCCGGAAAGTAACTTGTTCAATTCCTCGTCATTACGGATGGCCAATTGTAAGTGACGTGGGATAATTCTGGTCTTCTTGTTGTCACGTGCCGCGTTACCGGCCAATTCCAGAACTTCAGCGGCCAGGTACTCCATCACAGCGGCCAAATAGACTGGTGCACCGGCGCCAACGCGTTCAGCGTAATTTCCTTTCCTCAGGAGCCGATGGATACGACCAACGGGAAATTGAAGACCAGCCCTGTTCGAACGAGACTTTGACTTTCCCTTGACTTTGCCACCTTTTCCGCGTCCAGACATGTTAAGTGTTTGTTTCGGGTTTACTGAGAACGTTCAATGGCGAAGTGTCGCTCGATTGTAACCTTTCCAAACCCCTGAACACCCGTATATATACCGCCAGAGTGCAGTTCAGGTCGCGCCAATCGGAGAGCGGGACAGCGAAGAGTGGGGGGCAGCGCACTGCGATTGGTGGACCCGAGGTGCTCCGTTACGAAATAAATACGGCGCGTTACTGAGCGCATACCATCATTCAGCGCAACGTTTCGTATCCGTACGAACTGTGTTCCGAAGCATCATCGATTCACAATGCCACCAAAAACCAGCGGAAAGGCAGTGAAGAAGGCTGGCAAGGCTCAGAAGAATATCAGCAAGACTGATAAGAAGAAGAAGCGCAGGAGGAAGGAGAGCTACGCGATCTACATCTACAAAGTCCTGAAACAAGTACATCCCGATACTGGTATCTCCAGTAAAGCGATGAGCATCATGAACAGTTTTGTGAATGATGTCTTCGAACGTATTGCTGCTGAAGCATCCCGTTTGGCTCATTACAACAAACGTTCCACAATCACATCTCGGGAGATCCAGACCGCTGTCCGTCTACTCCTGCCTGGTGAACTCGCCAAGCACGCCGTCAGCGAAGGTACCAAAGCCGTCACCAAATACACCAGCTCCAAGTGAAGTAATTCACTGTACGAACCGGCCCTTTTTAGGGCCACAAAAAATTTTCCAATGTGGGAAGTCTCGTTCAATAACCAAACCTCTCAAACCCTTAACAATTATTCTTTGATCTTCAAATACAAATCTGCATAAATTGTGTACAAATCTGATTTGAATTTTTAAATCTTCACTATCACAATTTAGAATTCTCTGCTCAATGGAAAAGAAAAACCATTGCAAACTTCTGGCCTGCATACACTAGTTTGAAATGTTCAAATTCCTTTCAACATCTAAATACCTAATGGAGTTAGGATGAAAGAATCTGAAATACTCGGAAGGTAGTTACAAGCAGCGCCGAGTGAGGCACGAATATCTGTCAATGTTTCGAAATTAAAGTGGCTTGAAATATTTTTATTTTGTCACATTAAAGCGCCGGTATATCGCTATTTTGAAAAGGATTCATTGAATGAAACTACAGGTAATTTTGATGCATTGCCATTTTGGAGGAAATAAATTGTATTGATCGAACTCTTTCTTACAGAAATTTGGGGGTTACCGTCAGGCACTATGCTTTTAACGTGTAATAAGATTTCCGTGGCTTACTATCCTCACGATTTTTGAACACGTGGATTCTCTAGCAACATAACTGTACAATTCCATCTACCCAGGACCTAACGCAGTTCTACGTAATGGTATTGTAATTATTCAGTTACAAGCGGAAAGAAAATCACTGGAATAACGAGGATGATCTATTCCAGTTTTTCGACCGCCAAAAATTCTACGAAAAATAAAGGACTTTGAACCCAACACGTAGTAAGGCTAAAGCTAATTTCACATGTACAAAAGTGTCCCAAAATCCTTCGAGCACGTCTAAATAAGTAAATATGAGTGAGAACATTTTCCGATTCTGAGGACGAAATAAAGATTTCTGTATACATGTTAGGTTAGGCTATGAAATTTGTTGAATATTGTTTTGAACACATATGAAATAAACAAAATAGCAAAAATTGTACAATGTTATAGGCAATGTATTAATTAATGGTTGAAAAATACTAATAAAGAATTCTGTGTATTGGTAAATGGAACATATTTAGAAAACGACTTCATAGAATGATAAGACCCTCGCGTTGCGAAATTTCCCTACTCCCCCTGCTGCTTAAACGTATATTACTAGATTTTATTTAACTAGGTTCTGCTCATCGGTATTACGACCAAAAGTCATGATTCACAAATAAAACACAAAGTTATGAAAAATTCAGTATTTATTCTTACTCGAGCTCTTTCAATAAAGACACATATGTACAATATTCTAACCCTAACACTCTTACACATCTAGGCCGTACAAAAAACAATCTAGATTAAGTTTTACTTAATATAGTACGTAATATCACAGTATATTCCCTACAGTTAAACAGAGAAAAATCTTAAAAGTAATACTGTTACTAGATTGTCAGAAAATTGTTCCTTGTCGTAATGAAATTTGTGGCCCTGAAAAGGGCCATTTTGTGTCAAATACAATGGTTATAATCCCTCGTGAGACTTATTTCTTGGCTGCTGGCTTGACCGCTTTGGAGGCGGCCGCCCTCTTCGGTTTTGGCGTCCTGGTCTTCGCAGCCGGTGCTTTGGCTGTCTTCTTGCTTTTCGAGATGGCTTTTGATTCGGGTGCAATTTTCACTTTCTCGGCCTTCACGGGTTTCTCAGCTTTGGCAGCGGGCGATTTCTTGACAGCTGGTTTCTTCGTCACTGCCTCGGTCTTCTTCGGACTAGGTGTCTTCTTTGCCGTGGTCGGTTTACGGACCGGGGTGGTCTTCTTCTCGACCGATTTCTTGGCCTTTTTCGGCTCGGCCATTTTCACCGCACGCGGAACCTTGTTCTTTGACTCGGAACCCTTGGCCATGGGCAGCTTGAACGAGCCTGATGCACCTTTTCCCTTCGTCTGCACGACAGCACCAGATGTGACGGCTGACTTCAAGTATCGCTTGATGAATGGCGCCAGCTTTTCACCGTCCACTTTGTACGTCGACGCGATGTACTTCTTAATTGCTTGGAGCGATGATCCCTTGCGATCCTTCAGTTCCCGAATAGCGGCATTCACCATCTCCGATGTCGGTGGATGAGAGGACTTTGACTTCGGCGACTTCACCGATTTCGACTTCGGCGTGGTCTTCTTTGCCGGGCTGACGTTGCTTTCGGTGGACTCCACCGCGGTATTTCCAGCGTTTGTTTTGTCCTCCATTGTTTCTTTTTCCTCACTTTTCGATATTAGAACTTCTCGCAAACTTCCGTTTTACAATTGGGCACAATGAACGTGTGTTGTCGATGGTGTTTATACCGTTTGATACTCCAATGAGTGGACGATAGTCACAAAATTGAGTAGTTTGCGGGGAAAGCGCACTGTCTACCACGCTAGCGCGGACCGAGAGGAGAGACCCAGCGAATATGTTGAGCGGCAAGTTTCTTTTAAAACAGTGAAGCGGTAAACGATCACCCGATTTCGAGGAAAATTTCTCGAATTTGGAATCGAGTAGCGATGAAACGATGCTACAGGCGAACGACCACGTGTTTCTAGTTTAATTCGGTGGCCGTCACCGGCCGATAAACGTCGTCGTCTTCGTGCACGCCACAATTTCCCGACCAGTGTCATTTGGCGGGACCGGGACATGTTACGGAAAAATAATAAAAATTCGCAATTTACCCACAACTTCCCATTGTGTTTCTATGCAAAATGATTCTAATGGGAACGTTGCTTTGTGCCATGGTCCGTTTTTCCATAAAAAAGCACCTGTATTTATGAAATAACGCGTTTAAAATAGGTGGTGCAGGAATCCGTATCCCTCTACGAAATGGACACCAAGCTGCTTCGATATTTTACAACAGGATCATGTATAATAAAATATTTTTACATTTTTTAGTCGTAACGTGGATTCACCACAGGACGGACAAGCGAGATTCTTGCAAAATGTATGAACAATAAATAAAAATGTAATCGATTTAAAGCGTTCACGTGGAACGTACAGCTACGAAAGCATAACCTCATTCGTGGCAAGAAACGGCGATATTTAATGTTGTTTATAGACTGTAAAGGGTGTTTCGTGGATTTTTCATGGTGGTAATATATTCCGTGACATCTATTCAGGTCGATAAAATGTGCTGAAATGTTGAAAAATATGGGAAAAATACATGAAACTTGAAAGAATGTATCGATGAGATGATTGCGACACGGATTCGTCGACGTACGATTTCTATTTTTATAATTTTGCAATAAACGGTAGCAATCATTATGTTTTTGGGCACAATCTACGCATTGTTTGAGAAAATGGTTTTCAATGCGCGACATTGTATAATATTCGATGCTGTTACGACTACATCGAAAAATGGCAATGAAATGTCTTCATCTGCGTTCATAAAAATGGATGCCTGTCTCAGTTCATGGAAATATTAGGATTTATTGGAAATAATAATACATTTACGGAATATTTCCAGAATTATTCTCGCATATTAGCGATGTAATTTGGCATTCGTGATAAGAGTGTCATGTTGAAGCATGGAAAATAATCGAACCGAATTGAACGAATCACGCGAGACCGATACTCGATCCGCTGAGGTAGACATGTTGTTTTAGCATTGTTGTTTAGGCACAGATTGAAAAATGCTACTATTATACACTTCGATAAAATAAGTTGATGCATTCTTTAGTAATTTTTGTATGCATTTTTATGCTGAGATACCTATCCACATTGCATATAAAAGCATTTTTATTACTTTTTCACTTCTTAATATCCTTAATTCTCAGTTCTGTGAATTAAGGATCGAAACACAGATAAAGTGGAAATGTAAATTATTTAGTGTTGAATTACGCTAGTATTATACAAAAATATTAGTATTCATATTTTTCTTGCGTAACATGCTTAAAACATTTAATATGTTAATTGGGAAAGTAATCCTACGATATTTGTTATTTACTACATAATTTACGCATTTTGTTCTAGCACGTAAAAAATGACGAAAATAAGGAAAATGATTTAGAAACAAAGCCATAGAAATAAGATTCAGATATGATCAGAAGACACATCAGCAGGTTGAGAATTGGAATAGAATATTAACATTCTTCGGCTAGGAGGATAAAGTTTGACAAAGCTCTTCGCTTCTATACAATAATACGCCATTTTTGTGTCGCCTGCAACCTCTTAAGCCCCTTTGGAAAGGGGCCTTTAATTTATGAAGGGCAATGATTGTTAATCATTTTTCATGCAGTTCAAATCTAACTGTGTAACCTTGATAATGTTTACGAATAAAAACAGTTGTATCTAGGTATCGAATTCAAATTATTCGATATAATTTGTACCAGCCATCTGTGGAAAGTGGTTTTTCAAATTCCGTTTACCCTGTGAAGTAGTAGCGACATATATCGTACTATCTACTAAACCAAATGATGACGTTAAAGAATTAAAAAAAAGAAGAAAGGAAAAAGAGAACTATTACTTCATTGCATACATTAAGTTTCATGAATTTAATCCAACAGAATTACATATGTCAACATTTTACATTGAGGTTATGTCCAACAAAGTTCTATAAAGTTGTTGTGTTAGGCCTGATTCTAAATCATTTTTTCGACCGTCAAATTCGCCATAAGTCCATAAAAATAACATCAATTGACAACGATGCGAGAACATAAACTGACAGCTTGTGTTTCAATCGTATCGCCAGCTAATAGTCGCTTCGTTTCAGAAACAAACACGAGCCGATGCTTCGGCTTGGCGCATGTTTATTCGTTGATGGAATTACAGGTAAAAAAAGGTTAATGGTGCGTGTTAATCGCAGCGATAAATATGTTCGGCTAAGTAAGCGCGCGAAAGTTTCCTACGAAGTGTGTGACATCCAGCAATTCCAGTGCTAAAAAACGTTTTCGCAGCAAGTAGCCGGTTTTCATTCGGGTGGGGAAAATCAATAGGAAAACCGAATTGAAATCAGCAAGCATGGGTCATTAATGGATCGTGGATGAAACGCGTGGCGTTATTTTGGAACGTTCCCAGAGGTGCGTGTGCGAATGTATCTTCGTTCGTGGGACTTTCACGATGACACTTCCGAAATGCATCGGCTCTTGACGCACGCGGAAGCATCGGCTGTCATTCAGTGGTGGTGAATCGGCGATCGTTCAACAGCTGTGCTCGATCGGCGGAAGATGTTGAAAAATTCAACGATCATCGATGCTTCTTGACATACAATATCGGAGGAGACGGTGCCGCATATCGAGCTACGCTTAACCATGACGATACTCCGAAATATTCTGTTCGTCTGGATTGTGTCGTGTATCGTGTCCCGGGTCGACTACGCCGAAAGCACTCATATCTCGGGCACGTTCAACACGAAAGAGTTCTTCTGTTTTCTCATCAAATTCGGCTTTCAAAAAACGGATCGTCACCAACAAAAGGACTCCTACGGATATATTTTCGGCAATGTAACGTCCAAGTCCAATTTCGTGGCGCCGATCACATTGGCGGTTCTGGATCGTGGTCATTTCATAGAATATTACGGTAATCGGACGTTAGAAGACAAGAGTACTGCTTGCACCCTGATGTTCAACACCCTGAATCAAAGTTCATACGATGTGCACTGCAACGAAGAAGGTCGAGATTTCTTGAGGTACATTCTTTTGAGAGTAAGCATCCATTGAAGCAATATTGAAAGGATTAATGTTATGTTTCCTTTATCCTCAAAAAGGAGAGTACCCTGTCCAAAGGGCAAGCTGTGTCCGGATGAAGATTCTGTATGGAACATTGTAAAGGGACATCAATTCACATATGTCATACAAGATTTCTGGCAGCCACGCTTCTGGTACATGAGCTTAGTGGCCTGTTACAGGAACACAACCACCTGTCAGTGGGAATATTATGATAAGCATGATGAACTGCAATACGATATCTGGCTGGTAAATGGCAATCCAAACACCAGCGGTCTAAACAGCTTGACTTATCAGTTCTCGTACGACAGGCAGAATACTATAGAATTATACTTATTATTCTTCATGTGCTATATTATACTTGTGCCACTACAATTGTACGCTGTGAGATTACAAAAGCATCCTGTGACTAGATTGTTCACCGCCAGTCTTCTGTTAGAATTCATAGCACTATGTTTAATTTTGATACACGTGCTGAAATTTGCTCTTGACGGAGTTGGCTACGAACAATTAGAAGTTGCTGGTGATATTTTTGATATTCTATCTAGAGTAAGTGCAGAATTTATCACTTTGATTCTTGTATTTGACGATATGTGTGATGGTGTATCGGTTGATAACAGTTGTTTGTGTTTTAGACATCATTCATGCTGCTGCTCTTGTTACTTGCCAAAGGATGGGCAGTAACTAGAATGGAATTAAAATGGAAACCATTAGTTTTTGCTATATGGCTTTGTTACGGAGTGGTCCATATCTTGTTATATGTCTGGAATATGGTATACATACATTTGAATATATTTATACAGATATATATTATTCGAAGTAATAATACTAGAGGTGTGCGAGAACTCAAAAATGTTGGGGGAACCCGATGCTTGGAACGGGTCTAAAAGAGATTCCCGAGACCTTCATGCACCCGAATTACCTATCGAGACTAGGCTCATGGAACTCGAGCGTGTACCATAAATAACGATGCATGTTGAAAATATTTCAACTATAACACCTTAGAACAATGTCTTTCTATAACAACTTACGAGGAGCTAATAAAGGACCCATCCGTATTATCGAGACACAGATATTATGTTGGTAATTATAACTGTCGGATGGATTTTTGAAGAGTTGTAAATAGTTATTTATCATTTACAATTCACTACAAAACATAACACTTTCAAACTTTTCAGCTAAAAACATTCAAAATACACCATTTACATGTTTAACTACACGAAACTTTTTGTAAACACCTGCCCAATCGATTAAAAATAATTTGCATGCGTTATTTTAATATTAAACTAACGAACAGTTATTGCGCGAAGAAATTTTGAAGGAATGTTGTTGAATCCGCATTTTAAAGCCAGTCCCGAAACGTGATTCGGGTTCTTGAAATTCTCGGGAATTCCGACATTCTCGAGTCGCAAAACCTTTTCGGGAAACCGACCCGAACCCGAAAAAAATTCCCGTCCCGATTTATTCGGGTTCCCACATACCTCTAAAAGATACATACGCTTGCAGACGGAAGTTGATATTATCGAAGATATCGACGAGTATCAGACATGGCCAGGATGGTTTATACTTCTATTTAGAAGTGCAATAATGATATGGTTTCTGTGTGAATTACGAAATACTATGACGTATGAACATAATACTCAAAAGCTAAACTTCCTGCTTCATTTTGGTGCATCCTCTTTAGTTTGGTTTATATATCTACCTATTATTGCTCTAATAGCTCTTCAAGTAAGCGCATTGTGGAGGTTTAAACTATTACTAGGTGAGTGTCCAATAAAGTGAAACGGTTCGTGTACCATTTTAATTACTTAATGTACATTTTTGCAGGTATTACATACTCTGCTGATTGTTTTGCATATTGCGTAATGGCACATTTACTTTGGCCAACGCGAAGCGAACAGTATTTTTTACTTGCACAAGGAGCAGACAATGGTGACGAGTTGGATGAGTTTAATGAAGCACCACACGTATTGAATAATTATGTAGAACCTCCGGAACTTAGTAAAATCATCACTTAATATCAGATAACGAACGTTTGGTATTTGCCGAATGGTAAACTCATAGAGTTGATAATACTCTGCTATATGCTATTTGAGACTGATATATTCTGCACACTGTAATTGGGCATACATTAATAATCAAATTCACACATGTGATAGGGAGTCAGTGATTGACACCGGAAAAATAAAATGGGTGAGTATGATATGAGTACTTTTAGGGGATTCATTCATCATTTAACAGGAAAATAAACGATACGGTTAAGTTGTAGCTATCTGTAGATACAAAGTGATGATGTTAATGTAATATACAGTGATAATGTATAATGTATGTATATTTATAACTTTTATGCCAATGTACATAACAGTAATATTCAAGCTGTCAAATATTTAACATTACGGAAATATGTTCCAACCACCGGTAATCATATACATATACATAGCCGTCTACTGCTTCTTTCTAATCTTGTTATTAAAATATAACCCGACAACTTTAATTTACTCATGTCATACTCTTGGATAATATACGTCCAATGCTAATGACTCTAATTTCACTTTTAACTTTTTTCCATCGACATTTGTTACATTTAAAGGATTTAATAATTCCATGTATACAATTTTATCTAAAAATCTTCCTAATCTTGTACAATACTACACATTTTTCATGATAACACTAAGTAGCATTTTGTAATCGGGTACATAATACCTGCTCTGTATGAAAACTGTTACAATGTGTGCTTCACAAAGTATGCAAACTGAAAATAAAATCAGAGTGACACTTTATTTCTAATGGATTGTATTTGTGTAGTAGCATACAAAGTTTATAGCATTTGTAAACGAAAGATTGTATTAGTACACTACACACAAGTTTTCATAAAGAAAAATACTCTTTATGGACTCAACAATCTTTTCAGTATTAATATATTGAAATTTAAACGTTTGATCGAATTATTACGAATATATCTTTTATATATATTTTAAAAAATCAACATTATTAAAATTTCTCTGTTCTTATACTACCATATACTTTTTTTTCTTTGATATTTATATTCCAAATGTTGCAGTATTTAAAAGTACTAAACCATATATGAAATATAAAATTCTTATCAGTTTTGTGCTTGCATAGAAGTTTCCTATGACATTTTTGCTCAATTTTGTAATAAATTAAGTATTTTAATAGCAAAGTATATACTTTCTTAGGACCTTTATAAGCTATGTACCTATATATTATATTGCAATCTTGGTGCAATGTTTCTAATGTATTGACACTTGTAGAAGTAGGAGACACGATTGATTGTAAACCAAAACTGATGTTGAAAGCATAATCCTTATTTTTGTTTATACAAGACCAAGTTTTAAGAAAAAGTGTAAACAATGATTCTAAAAGAATCAGAACTGTATAAAAATCTTTTTTTTATAGTGAAAATAGAAATGTTTAATGTTTGTAGCAAGTATACAAATTTTTATGGAAATTTTAAAGATTTACGGAATGTGTATCACAATTGAAAACATGAATTGATCTGTTACTGGTATAAGTAATTTTCATGTAGTACAATTTTAACAAAGCACTGAATTAACTTAACTGTTTTTGTCTAATACATCATGTTCATAGGATATATAATGTATAATGACGATGTATCGGTTTAAATAATTCGATTTAAAAAAAAAATTGGAATATATGGTATAATAAAACAGAATGTCTTAATTATTTATTTTGAAATCTTAATTTATATTTTGCTACATAAATACTACCAATATAAAACTAAAAGTATTTATATTATATGTATGGGGCAAGGTAGAATGAAATAAATTTCCAACAGTTTAATAAAATATGAACTGAAAGAAAACACAATTTTCAACATAATGTGCGTTTATTTGCATGCTGATAAGTGACTAATTTTCTGTACACATTAAATGAATGTATTTTGCAGAGCCTTTGGAATATTTAAAATTATAGTAATCTCAAATTATTAGTAAGTTCATCTATGATTTCTTTAGGACCTGGTCCAATTCCAAGTGCAGATACTGTACCAGGTACTAATTGAGTTCTACCTGCATCTTTTATGATAGCAATAATAAGACCAGCATTACGAGCATTTCGAGCTAATGACATTAGATGTTCTTCATCAGCTACTCTTAAAACAATCTTAGGTTGCCCCTGTAATAACCAAGTTTCATACAGCTGTTGGTATTTTTTATTATCAACTGCCTGTCGATAACATTCTACTGCAGCATGTGCACACTGAGAAGCAGTTTTCCCTTTTCCCATGGGTATATCTGACCTCACAACAAGTACCATTTTACAATTTTTGACATCTGAATACTTTAAAGTATAATTGAACACACGTTTTATATGCTTTATTAAAGCTGACATCGTTACAGAATTAAGAGTATTGTTTTTCCCGCTTTTTTTGGTATTCGTCCATGCAAACCTTAAACTGTTTTACTTGCTCCCGACACTTTCTCCAATCTTGAGTTTCTGCTATACACTCCTAAAAAATGTTTGTACACTACAACATTTTGTCATACGATATGTTCTCCGTGATTAAACGTATTCGCAAAGTTAATACTTGAACTTGATAATGCAATTCCATACAGCCGGTTTTTTTCAACATTTCCTCGAGTGGATCGACAACATCCTGTTGCTGCACGGTTATGCTTGAATTAACTTTCATACTAAATTTAAGTACAATACATGCAGCATCAATGATAACTACACATCTAATAGATGCAGTTGTCGATTTAAATACGTAGAGGTTATATATTCACACGTTCTGTATCATTTCGTGACCGTATTTAAAACAAAGTGAACATGTAACGCAAATGCATCAATAGTCGAAATCGATGTTTAGTGATCTAGCTGCAACGAAAAAGCGTTATACGGGTTACTTTATCAATCTTCGACCGGTGACGAACTTTCAAATAATCAGAATGAAAAGAAATTGATTTCTAATGCAATTCTATCATGTAGAAATGAAGTCAAAGGTAAGTGCAAGTCGAACAAGTAATTGATTTAGACGGGAAACATAACAATATTATCGTAATTGGTCATTTGTTTCTCTTTTCATAATGTATAAATACTTCTTGGTTGAAGTCGCGTTTGAGAATAAAATCACAAAATAAGAGTTGAAATTCGTAATTCAGAATGCAATGAGTAGCGCTAGTTTCGACATATGGCCGCTGGTGTCTCAAATTTTACAGCAGACGACACAAGCCATGGCGTAGTACAGTCGAAAGCATGAGACATACAGTGCCTTGGTGTATGTGCCGCCAATATCGTAATTTTTGATTTTTATCTCGTATCCACTTAAAAAAAAACGTGTATGCTTGGGTCAGGTACCAACGCTCTTATACTAGACATTCTTTCCGATCGCGTCCAAACTGGGGCGTTAAAGGTTTGTTGGCCGGCCGTTAATTTCAACGATTTCGTGAGTATTATCGAATTTTCCTAATTATCGTGACTTAAACGATTTCTTTTTCGACGAGAGCATCATAATCGGTTGAAGTAAACTGTACAATAAACTTCTGTTATTTGTGTTCCGTGTCTTTCTTTCATCGTTATACACTGAAAGGTGACATAACGATCCCATAATTCCATAGCACGTGGGTAATGCACGCTGAATCTTGAATGTAAATAACAGAACACAATCGCGACTATATCCCATTACTACTTGTTAAGGTTTTAAACTTACAGGTGTTAGCAATTGTAAAAAAAAATGTTGTACTTTGCATATTACGTTTACGTTTATCACATTTGTCGTAGGTATTTTTACATACAAATAATTTTAGAATAAGCAGATACTTGACTGAAAATGTTACGGAATCACAAACAACGCGATGCAGCCTTTCACAATTTGATAATACTTGAATTACTTCGAGTTGTAAAACATTGTTTTTAGCAATTTTTGAAATTTTTCTTTTGAAACTGGATACTTGCATGCAGTTATTTTGTTTACACAATACATACTATTATCACAGTTCCATCTTTTAAACCGTATCGTTCTACGATGATTCCATTAATTTCCGTCTGTGTTGAGAAAAAATCACTGACCACTGCCGCAGTAACGTCACGGATGCAGTGTGACGAAACATATATTCAACGTGATAAGAGATCTCACGGTCAGGGTTGGGGATTGCCCTAAATTAACGGTTCATTTCAATCGGTCGCATTTCGTAATTAATTGGTGAATGAAACCGTATTATAGAAATCATCGCTTACCTTAATTTTGCGTAAAATGTTTATCTTTACAAAAACATTACCTATCAATATTGTTAATGTTAAGATATTATCAAAGATTTATCGAAAAAGTATTGCTCAAAAGGAAAAAATTCTTTTGTAATTAAATTATTATTTAATTGTTATTAATTGTTATTTAATTGTATTTTAATTTGTTTGTAATTAAATTGTTCAAATGTACGTTCGTAATAAAATTGAAACAGAATTTTTTTGTATCTTCGCGCCAATCGACACTCATGGCGCCAACAGAAACTAGTTTAGTTCCTGTATTGCCGCTAGATGGTTACGACGGTTACCCGTGATTCGTTGTTTCTCGCAAGTACTTAAAGTGGGTCCGATTAGTATATAAGGACGAGACGAAGCATCTACTCTCGGGTAGTCTGATGCTTCCCAGGAAAAAACAGCCCATTATTGCGGCTATTACAGACGACATCATTGTTGTCCGGTAAACTCCATTACACATTACTGTGTTTCATAAAAAAAAAATTTGTGTTTGCCTTGTAAAACAAAACTTACTGTGGAAGTAACCCCAGTGACTATCTCTTTTGCCAAAAATTTTGGTTTCGAAAATTTATCGCGTGATGTACCAGATTTTTATTCTCAAATATAAAGTAAACCTGTAGTTTAATGAGAGGCGATTTAAAATCGACAAACACGAGTTTATTTTATCAAACAAGGAAATCTCTGCAATCGTGGACTTTAATCAATAGATGGGTTAATAGATCTCCCCCTCCCCCCCTTCGTGAGAAGTGTTCAAACTTTCATCGATTTGTAAGTAGTGTACCGACAACAATTAATCTACACACACACACACACACACACATACGTCATCACAGATATTTCAACGCGCGACTTCTCAATCTCATTTTATCACGATAATTCAATTACCATTGAATGGTAGGTAACACGTCCAATTACGTGTCTACTATTAATTGTATCGCAAGTTCGAAACTTTTAACGAGTCGTTCGCAGTGTCGAAAGTTAGAAGGGTAGTAGCTTAGAGCTTAATCAGAAACATTTGTATGGAATTCTTTTTGCATCGGTACACGAAGAACGGGTTCGTGCTTATCAATATATTCCACTTATCGATGGCATTTGTTATACGCGCGGTTATATTGTTTCCAATATTCGAGCCCGGAAACGGTCAAAGTTGCCTCCAAATTTGCATTGTCGCACGGCATTATGGTGCGATTCTAGTAGCCTTGAAGAGCGCGAATACTTTTCTGTCGTGGCCCGAAATCGTGCGCATATACAGTTTTTCAGTACGACCATACAGTGACTCACATGTTCACGAATGACTGTCACCTCTATTCAACCATATTTACCAACATGCGAATTTTATTTCAAAATTTAGGATAGACTTCGGAAAAGTAACCTCCTACTCTGAATGACTTTTTTTCTTTCAAAACTGTCTCTAACTAACTCTGAATTACTTTTTTCCTTGAACTGTCTCTAAACAACTCTGATGCATTATGTTTTTTTTTTAAATGGAACTACATATTTATATCCGCGTGGCGTAATAGTTGAGATCAAGACCAATCCAATGATGTATAACGGTATGGCCTTCGTGTAAACCGAAGTACGAAAAATCCACAAATGTGTGACAGTAAATTTAAATAAAAAAATAACTACCGTAGAGGGATTAGTGCGAAAATGTATCAAAATTGATGAACGTCATTTTGGGCATTTAGTAAAATTAATTTTTTTCAAATCCAAAACAAGTGAGATACTAAAGGTGTTCACGTTAGGTAGGGCACTCTGTATTATGATGAATTTGTATTCTTTTGACCAATGAGACGCTCGCAGATTAACTAAAGTTTTTTTAATGGAGTTACAACAGTTAAGAACTCGGGCGACGAGAAGTCCCACTCGACTTTGCGACACGTTTATTTCCCTCGTGCTCGTGGAGGAGTTTGGACTACCAACCAGAGATGAGCAAACCCATTATCTAGATAGAAAGTTTCGAATAACGACTAAAAGATAAAAAAAAATATTTCGTCGTTTTTAATTGTTCAAACATGGAAATTTCAATGTTTATAATAAAATAATACATCTTTAAGAATGAATCGACATTTGTCGAACAACTATTTAATCTCATTAACTGTTTAAAGCTCAGAACGACACCCTTAGATACTGCTGCTTTTCACTGTGTATTATTTGAATAAAATTCTGCCCAATTCTGCTACCAACGTCGTCTACCGATTATTTGTTCGACGATCTGTCTCGACGAAAGTACACGTCCTATCTATGCAGAATCAGAGGGAAAACGCCAGACCGAATTGGTGGTCAGTTTAATTTTAGATTGTCCCGCTGCAGACCGTTTGACTATCCTCAGACCGACACGCGCTCGACGACGAATACGAAGAGACGGGAGAGACTAAACGTGAAACGACGATACGTGATAGGCTCGCGGTGAAACCGGCGGGAGGTAAGGGACAAGCGTGTCGAGGTAGCGCAGAAGGTGAGCAGACGAAAACACCGGGGCTGCGAGTCTCGCGCCATTCTCTCCGCCGAATGTGCGTCCGGTGCACCTTTTCTCAGAGCTGCGCCAATGTACAGAGTCTGAACTCCGATAAACAGTCTTGTGTTTCTTAGATATTTCACACCGTGATATTCTTTCGTGTCGATTCCAGCGGAGAAAAGTTTCTGGGGCAACTTGGTATTGGTACCACGGAACGAACGGAGTCGCAGAAGTCCCGCCCCTCACCGAACCCCGCGCGTATCACTCCGCTTCGGGAACCAGAAGAAGTCGACGCGCGCGCGCGTGTGTGTGTGTCCTCTAGCTGGTGGCGGTGAATCGATCCGTGGATCATGGAGGAGGAAAATACAACCGGGAACGTGAAAAAACGAGACCAGGAAGAAGAGGAGGAGGAGGAGATGGAGGCCGATGAGGATGGAACGTTTGACGAGAATCCAAGCTTCCCGGAGCTGGAGCGCACCCAAACTGGCCGAAAAACGAGCATCTTCAAGTATTACTCGTTCAAGGAGAAGGGAAAAGGTGAGTGAAATTTGAAGTTCTTGTATCAGATTCGGTCGTTAATTGTTTTTCGATCGAAAGCAATACAGAAGCATATTATGGGTACAGGTTAATTCGTGGCTTTCTTTTTATAGAGTTGTCGTTGATTTACAAACAACCAAAATACAGTTCAGTCTTGATAATATTCCCTATAATTAAAGCGAATACCCGCTCGAAAAAATGATGGCGATTGTAAGTCAAGAATTAATTTGTACACCTAATAGTTTATCTTAAAGAAATGGTTAACCGATAGAGATACTTTAGATGAGGATTTAGATGTAGGTAGTTCTTTGTTTCTTTGGATAAGCCACGTTTTTTTGGGAGGATCTTTTAATCGAAAGTTATCGGGGATTTTGTATGTATGAGTTAAACATCAAGGTTATCTGTGTCTGGCTACTGATAAGTGAAACTTGAACTTTAATCGTTGAATGTTGATTCAGATCCGAAATAAAATTCCTTTATGTAATCCACACGGAAACTGGGGATTTCCTCTGTCGATTTCGTTCGAGAAATTTTCATTTTCATTTAAACCATGAGAGAGAGAGGGAGAGGGAGGGCTCTCTCGGAAGTGTGTACATATATTCACGGCCGTACGGTGCATTATAAAAATAAAAAGGGTACGGCGGTGTGATCAACGACGACGTACGCACGAACACGCCCTCCGGGCGTCACTTCGTCTGCGCGCTTCTTGTGCATCATGTCATTGGCATACCATCGCGAAATAAACACACCGATACACATGTGTATATACCAGGCAGGGTTAGGGCACATTTTATTTGAAATAAAACGTGACCAACCCTGCCTTCAGGTAGAATAGTAACTTTGAATTAATCTATCGAACAGTTTTTGTACAAAAAAATTCGTCAAAAAATCACCCACTGCACGCCCCCACAAGGTAGAATATCCCCCTTCCACAAGACGAACTTTTCGCACGGTCACTCTCACGTCCCGAGCTTTGTCCTAACGAATGACGACGGAGTCGTGGGGCGACGATGTGTCGAAATTTGGACGCGGTGTCGGCGGTGTGTTACGATGTCACCCAATAACGAGTGGTCCCCGTGATTCACAGGCAGATCGTACGGGCCAGGTGGTGCATAATGCATCAACGTGAAGCGTATCATCACGAGGTCGACGTGCTCACTCTGTCCACGTCACCTTGTTCCATTGCCAAGTGTTAGGACGCGATCTTTTAGAATCGAAACCAGAGGAAAGAAAACTTTCTACTGTTTTTTCTTAACCTCTTCAAGGACGAAATTTGTTTAAACCAGCTGACAGGTCTCAGCGCGCGATTTAAATCTACAGCCGCCACTGTACACAGGGCCGCGTTTACCCATTAAGCGAAATAGTCACACACCTAGAGCCCGCTGAAAAAAATGCTTCTGTACTGGCTCAGTTTCAAGGGTTGCAAAAGGGAAAATCGATATCGTAATTCGGTCGATGTGGCCTAAGAGAAACGGGGCAAGAATTCACGTGCACGGAGGAGTTATGCAACTCGACCTGACGCGTGTACATATGTACATACATACGTATAGAGACCGCGAAAAAAAGTTCGTGCTTCGAAGTGGTTCCGTCGCGTGGCGCTCGATAATGACGCATCGCGACTTTAAAAGACGGGACAAGCCTCCCCAGGCCGACCAATTCGTGCTCTCGCCTCGCCTGTCACAAGCACACGTGGAACCTCGCCGTTGGATTTCTGCCTCTCGAAAGGCGGGAGACGGCGGATCGCGCCGTAGTAAATATGTGCACACGCCATGGCTGCACGTGCGTTCTCTCGATGAATCCGTGGCGCCGTCGCGTGCACGTGTCCCTCCCCCCACCCTCGTTCCGTTACTTCTTGCGCGAGCGCACGTCTCGACACCTGTATGGGCAATGGAGTGGGGACATTCAAAACGAAATTTTAATAGAATAAAAAATTGATACTGATACCCTTGAAATAGAAACGTTGCGAATAAAATAAATTTCTTTTGAGAATAATGAATTACTTTTTATTTGAAATAAGAAATATTTTACTTTTTCTTTTTTGATCGTGGAATGACCTTTCAGAATCATCCGGTGGAAGTTTGTAATTCGAAAAATTAATTATTACAACCGTCAGCTTGGGACCAGACAGGTCCTGGTTCAACCGACGAACCATTGAGACAACGAACAGACGTTTTTAATCTAGTCTGGTTCGACAGCGCATTTATATTTAGTATCCGTTTGAAAAAAGCCGATGCATAGTATCATCGGCTTAATTACGCGATGACGAAGATCTTGCGCAACCGTTCTCGAAAAGAAATAAAACAGATGAATCTATTCGATATTTAAGAATGAAATATTATAAGAAAAGGGACCACAGAAGAGACAATGCTGAATGTATAAAGAAACTTCGTTAAATTACATATTCGAAGGAACATTTTCCCCGTACTTAACCTATTTATTTCCGACGCCGGAGTTCCAACACACACTGCGTCGCGTGTCCCCGTATCCCAAACGCTGTCGTTCACTTATCTCCGATTTCTGCGAAGGCGCAGAGTGTGGGTCAAGAGGAGGAAACCAGGGATAATGAGCCTCCAACGGCGACAAATCATATCCGTCTCTCACTCTCCCGTTTTTGACGTGTACACGCGTGGTAACCGTATTCCAATTTAAAAAAGCTGGAAGCAACGTCCCGCGACCGTCATTCCACCGCGTGGTTTCTCGTTCGAACAGCGGTGGAGTGTTCGCGCCCCGTTTCGCGGTCGAAACTCCTTTAACGGTCAACGACTTGAAAACAAAACAAAGTGCCGTGAAAAATAAGCCGATTTCTTTCCGCGCGGTTAACAAACTTGGCGTGATGTAATTATCGGAGCTCTTTGAACCGTGACACGAGAAGTTTTTCCGGTGACAGACCGTCGAAGATTCCAGGAATTATCGTGACATTTCTTTAACGATCAAGTGGCGGAAAAAGTGGCGTAGGGGAAAGGTCTCCTACTATTTGGCAAATTTATTTCAATTACTCAAAGAAATTTTAAATCGAATGTTAATTCGACATAAATATCAATAATTCCTCAAAACAAATGGTAGGAGGCCCTTCTTTGGCTCTTTTTTTCTTACGGTGTACATTCCGTTTCCTTGGAGGAACGTTGTCGCGGATCGCACAAAAGTATAATTTTTCGAGTGTCAAACAACCAGCGGGGGATTCTTTGAGGCTCCCAGGGAAGGTGGAACTATCTCCGTCTCAGTTGAAAACGGGGTGAAGGACACACGCGGTGTTCACCTTAGAACTCGTTGCATTGAACTTGTCCACGATGTGCGTGTTAGGTTAGTGAATAGAGAAAAAAATAGGTGTTGTTCGGTTTTATTTCTTGTGATTATTAAAGTGATTGAACGGCGTTTACGATGAACGACGGGAGAATACGCGTCGAAAGCGAAACGTGTCGAGTTGTAAGTTGTAAACCCGGTAAGACTGCTAGGGCCCCTTTGGTCCTCGCCCGTAGAAGAGGAGGTAGAAAATGTTTGTAATATAGAATATAATTATAAAAGAATTGTAAGAATATTTGTGAAATCGAACGGTCCTGTATTCGAGAATCGCGTGTATACAAGAGATCTTGTCGTTCCGAAGTTCCACGACGTACACCCGTTCTTCTTTTTTTTTTGCTTTTATAGCGTGCAACGTGGACGTGTTACACTGAGTGATGAAGAACACTGTTTTTATCTTTCAGATACAATGACAAGCTCGACGAAGAAACCAGGCCCCCTTATCGGAGTAATAGACGTTGGCACGCGGACCGTTCGTTTTGTGGTGAGCCAATGTTTATGTAATACGTAAATGTTCGTCTGCGTAGATATCAATGGAACGGGAAATCTTTCGAAGATTACACGTAATCAGAGAAATTCTTTGCTTTTCTGTTGTGTCTACTTGAATATCAAAAATAAATCGTACACGTACACATCTACGTAGAGTCGTCTAGAATCAAAAGAGATCGAAGTTATTCCCAAGGAAAGGTGTTCTACGTTCGAAGAAAAGTCCAGAAACTGTGATATTGATTCTGTATCTCAACATTCAAAATCAGGAAAATTGCATTATTCCTTGCGCGGTCCAGTAGATTTATGCTCATAGGGAAAACGCCCTAATTACTACCACTGCCCCTAATACTGCCACTTTATTCATTTTACTTAATAAAAATAATAAAGTTACGTTACAATCTTAAGGTGACTGTAATTGGGACATCTATCCTTTATCTTGTTTTGATTCGTTTCATGTTCACGTAAAAAAACATCTGTGCAGCTGGAATCCTATGTTTCCGATTGATGGAATACGTGTTATCCACGTGTTCTACCGATTGGAACACGGATTACAGCCAAGCACCTCTCGTATACATGTGTATTTCTGTAAGCGTCAAATGATTCATTCTCGAACATGTTATTTTAAACACGTTAGTCATCGGAGAATGGTCAATAATAGTGACTTACCTGCTTGGATACGTCCCTCAAGAGAAAGTCTCAAGAAGTCGGATTCTGGTACATTAAGAGCGTATTCTCAATACCGACAACCTTTAGTGTCCCCAGAATCGAATTGTTTTCCCAATACGAAATTTACGGAGCAACCGAAATTAACATTATATCTCCAATATTTACATCGGAACGTAAAAAATATAGTTTAAAAATCGTATTTCGTTATCTTTATAATAAAAATTACTTCGATTCAAATTACGTACAAAAATATGAATTATCATTCAATTCACAGCGTTTTAAGGTTTGCTAGGCTATTATTAGGTACCTTCACTCCATATATGCTCGATTTTGTCCATTACCGTTTCAGGTGTTCAACGCGCAACACGTGGCCGAGGTGGCCTCCCATCAGATCGACATAGAAGAGATCAATCCTCGCGAGGGATGGGTGGAGCAGGATCCGCGGGAGATACTGTTCGCTGTGAAGGCGTGCATCAAGGACGTCGTGAAGAAATTGGACGCGCTCGGCTTGAAAGTGGAGGAGATTGTTACGGTCGGTATCACGAATCAGAGGGAGACGACCGTCGCGTGGGATGCAACCACCGGTGAACCGTTATATAACGCGATAGGTATGTCCCCGGGAATTATACAGGGTGACCCCTTTACGTGTGACACCCCTCGAATTTCTTTTTTTAATTGTGGAAACGCAAAAAATATTTTACATATAATTCGAATGATATTAACTGTTCTTTTTTTTAAAATTTTTTTCTCGAAGTTTTCAAGGTCGACAACTTTATTTTCGGGGTTCAAAGTCACTTCAAGGTCATATCATAGTACATATCTGAATGTATTTCTTCATGAGCTACACGATGAAATAGAAAGAAAATGTGTAGTTATTTCAAAAATAAAACGTCGATGGCCTTGAAAATTTCGAGAAAAAAACCTGCAAAACGACAAAAATTCAATAACACGATCTATAACTTAGTGTTACGATACTTGTCGTTGTTTCAGTGTGGTCCGATATAAGGACGGTTTCGATCGTCGATCAGATAATAGCCAAGTTTCCGGATCAAAGTAAGAACCATATCAAACCGTTGTGTGGTTTACCGGTCAGCCCGTATTTTTCCGCGCTGAAGATTCGTTGGATGAAGGACAACGTGACCGCGGTTAGGAAAGCGATGAGGGACAACCGATGCAAAGTGGGCACCATGGACACTTGGATCGTTTGGGTATGTCGATGTACACATATGGGAGATTATGTAGGGCGAATCAGGGATGGTTGTCACATTTTTCAATTCATAATTTTTTTCTCTCTAATTAATAAATATTTCAACATTTTCTTCATCGTAACAAAAAAAGTAGGTATTTGTAATTTAAAGAAAAAAATAACCAGAATAATGTTCCTTGTGACAACTAACCCCACTTGTGATAAAGTATAAAAATGGATTACAATACTGCAACGGAGTAAAATGTTGATAAAAGTCTAGAAGAAAATTCTGTCTCAATGCATGTAGAACCTGTCTAGGATGGTCAAAGAATTTAATTGTGCCTTTGAAGCGAAAGGAATAATGGGATGAACATAATTCGAGATTGTAAGCAAATTCATTGAAACAGAAAAAGAAAACAATACGATAACAACATAAAAAATTATTACAGAACTTAACCGGGGGCAAAGACGGTGGATTGTATATCACCGACGTGACGAACGCCTCCAGGACCATGTTAATGAACATCGAAACCCTCTCGTGGGATCCGACATTGTGCAGATATTTTGACATTCCTATGCAAATATTGCCGGAAATCAGGAGCAGCGCTGAAATATACGGGAGTATCGCGATCGATCCGTTAAAGGGTATCCACATATCGGGTGTAAGTACCATTCGATCCCATAATCGCGGGTTCGTGAGTTTTGGTCTGTCCGGTGGTACGTGGTCGATCTGTGGATTATCAGAAAATCGATTTCCGGCTTATTCGATGAAACCAGAAACGGTCAAATTCATTATATAGATAAAGAATATCGAATAACAAATAAAAGATAACAAAAAATATCTCGTCATTTTTAATCGTAGACTCGTAGAAATTCCATTTTTTATAATAAAATAATACTTCTTCTCGAATGAGTCGACATTTCTTCTGCTCTTCACTATCTACTATTCGAATAAAATTGTGCCCGATTCTAGGTGAAGAAACTATTTTGACCAAAAAAAAAACAAACGAAACAGATCCGTTCAAAATTCGTAAATCCGATGTTATATATAAAACGGTACATTTATACTTGTCGATTGCATCGTTTTTCTTTTTTGTTTCGTTTCGTTTCAATTAGATTCTAGGGAACCAACAATCTGCGTTAGTTGGTCAGAATTGTTTAAAGAGTGGCCAAGCGAAGAACACGTACAGGAGTGGGTGTTTTCTACTGTGTAACACGGGAACAACGGTTGGTATTCGGTGGAAAAAATATCATATGATTTTTTTCTGTATATATATATGTATGATTGTTGAAAAATACTTTTTCCAGAGAGTCTATTCGTCTCACGGGTTGGTCACAACGGTTGCGTATCAATTCGGTCCGAATAGTCCGGCGGTGTACGCGCTGGAGGGATCGGTCGCTGTGGCGGGAGCCGCCATTAAATGGCTCCGTGATAATTTGAAGCTAATAAAGGATGTACACGAGAGCGAACATTTGGCTGAAAGTGTCTTTAGTACCGGGGACGTGTATTTCGTGCCGGCTTTCACGGGACTCTACGCGCCGTATTGGAGAAAAGACGCGAGGGGGTGAATTATTAACTTCCTGTGACGTTTTCTATACAGTCGACTCATGTACTTCGTTCGTATATTTTTCAAATTAAGTGTACAAATTTTTATGATATTTGTATTTATGTATCCACATGATTTTTTACTTTTAAATTTTTCGTAATTTTGAAATAAGATTCGTAGTTCCGTACGTAATCCTGTGAAATAAAATGTGGCAGCCTTCGATGAACAAAATTCGCGAGTCACTGTACGTACGTGTAATCACGTTTATTAACGGAAGAATATTTGTCGTGCGCAGAATTATTTGCGGTCTTACCGCGTTCACCACGAAGCAACATATAATAAGAGCATCGTTAGAAGCCGTTTGCTTCCAGACAAGAGATATTTTAGAAGCTATGTACAAAGACTGCGGCTTTCCACCGACCAAGTTGCACACAGATGGGAAAATGTCGACGAATAATCTTCTTATGCAGCTGCAAGCAGATCTTTGCGGCACGCCAGTATGTAAGTACACTTTATCTCCGGGGGTGTATGTTTTGTAGGATGGAAAGTATATCATTGATTGGTTTTTTCAATGTGTCAAAAGTCAGGTCAACTATGCCGGATATCACAGCTTTAGGAGCAGCGATGGCTGCAGGGCATGCGGAGGGTATAGATCTTTGGGAGCTGGAAGGTGAAGAAGTGGAGACTGTACCAACGGATACATTTTTGCCAACTACAACACCAGAAGGTAGCAAACATAACCGACAATGAGGTGTTTTATATATTTATATTTTACTCTATGTAGCATTATATTCGGTTTGTTTTTATAGAGAGAGATGCTAGGTACAAAAAATGGAAGATGGCAGTTGAAAGAAGCTTAGGATGGGCTGCAATTAAGAAGTCTGACCAAATGACAGGTAAATTTGCGTCTGTGTTATGTGTGTTACTGCTTACTCCTTTTATTCTGGTTTGGTACTTTACATCTCTCTAACGATATTAAATACATATATGTGTATACGTTTATGTACATATGCTATGGTAAACAAAAAAACAATGTCTTTTTACCATTCCGTCACAGCCCCCTTTACAGATTCCACGTAGAAAAGTAAAATAATTTTGTAATAAATAAAACGATTCCTCTTCCTGGCATTACTCTAATTCTTGTGTCTCGTGATATTTCGGTATGATTTAGAATTACTGCACGCGTTGTTCAAATAAATGCATGATTCGTGAACGTCTTTAATGAACATTAATACGAATATATGAATGTAGATTGACGTTAACCTAAATACCAATAAACATTGACAATGTTTCAGATGAGAGATATTGCGTTCTGGCGTCGATCCCTGCGAGTTGGTTCTTAATGACGAGTTTTATCTTACTACGATTAAGTTATTATTTAGAAAATCGGTGACAACAGGTTTACGTAATTACAACGAAGATTCAGTTAGATGCCAGGTAACCTGTATTTTAAATGCAAGCGCAGAGTAGGAGCAAGGCTGCCAAGCAACTTAATCAACAGTAGTAGTTTCAGAATTCAGACAACAATATCCGATTACAGAATAAAGAAACAGTACAAGAGTCTGTTTCTTTACAGTAGAATCACTCTAATACTTCGTATTCAAACTTGCCAACGAAAGATCAAGATAACATAATCGAACGAAACGCAGAGCGACGAAGCAGAGAAAATAACGTGTTATCGATTTCGAAGGATATAAAATGTTAGGCAAAGATGCACACACACACACACAATAATGCAAAGCAATCGTTATATTTTATCGTTAATGAATACAAGATAACGGATACCGAATCAGTCCAATTATGCATAATTTTGTTTGTTACTTAAAGATGTACACCAGTCAAACCTGTACGATTAATTAACCGATTAAACGAGTATCGTTTAATTTATAATTCCGTCGCTCTCTTTTTGTAATTCTTAACTTATTCGTTATGTCGTAAGGAATCCTGTATAGTATATTGTTAAAACGATTGCATTATAAAAGCATGCACGGAAACACACGTTCGTTTTCTTGTACCGAAAATACGTTTGTTGTTCCTCTGGTTTTTATGCTCAAATAAACTTGCATAAGCCGAAACAACGAAATCGAATTGTATGCTACTTTTAACGTACCCCCATCCCGTCAATTATATAAAAAGTCCTTTGAAAAAAATTCAGCTCAAGATCCATGATTTCGATTCATTTCGATAAGAATTCCTTTTTGCAGATGATCAAAGATAAGATTTAACCGTTAAATTTTAGGGATTTAACCAAATCCAGTTAAATTTTAACATTATCATTCGAAAGGTTCGCGGAGCAGGTTTGAATAGGGCGCGCTACAGCAACGCCATCGAAGCGTCACGCGGCTGCGAGCGAAACTACAAATTAAGGAGAGACTGCGAGAGACACACGGCACGCTTGGTCCCGTGTGTCAGTGTCGATTCGTTGTTGCCGTTCGCTGTTGTCAGTACGGTATAGCTGGACCTAGGATGTGGTATCGCGTAACATCATGTCACGTCTGGTGGTCGCGACTCCGTGAGAAGGTCGTCGGGGTTGCGTACGCGTCTCGGTAAAAAGGAAATGCGGTATATCGTATCGCGGGTGTGCAGGGGCCAGATTGGCTAACCTAAAGCGCGAGGCTTGTTGTCGTCCGTCGTCGTCGTCGGTGGTTCCACGAAGGTGGTGTACATATATATATAATATATATAAGTGTATAAGAGTGCGCGCGTAGCTCGCGTCCGAAGGCGAGCACCACACACACACACCACCGCCAGGGAGTCCCGGTGTGTCGTTCGTCGTCGTCGTCGGGGGATATGCACGCGCACGTCAAGATGTCGTCGGGAGGACACAGCAGTCGTACCAGAACGGTGCACATAGGTTCGATTTTTCAGAAGCTTCACGGCCGTTTCGCCGACCCTATGACACTCTCAAAACTGTCTACCGACAAACGTATGCTGGACAAGACCTGGAAGCTGATGGACAAGGTGGTGAAACTGTGTCAACATCAACGTATGAACCTGAAAAATTCACCCCCGTTCATTCTGGACATTCTCCCCGACACGTATCAACGTCTGAGACTGATATACAGTAAATACGAGGATAGGATGCAGATGTTGCACAGTAACGAGCACTTCTGCGTGTTCATCAACAACCTGATGAGAAAGTGCAAACAAGCGGTGAAGCTGTTCAAAGAGGGGAAAGAGAAGATGTTCGACGAGACGTCCCATTATCGTCGTAATCTGACCAAGCTCAGCCTCGTGTTCAGCCACATGCTGTCCGAATTGAAAGCCATATTCCCGAACGGTGTGTTCGCCGGCCACAAGTTCCGTATCACGAAGGCGGACGCGGCCGAGTTCTGGAAGGAGAGCTTCGGGATCAGGTGCGTAACCGTCAGTCGGACACTAGGCATCCGTTTCCTATACGCTTCCGTTCGGTTCCGTTTTCCTCTTCTCGATAGGTGTGTGTGTGTGTATGTATATATGTGTGTGTGGTAAACAGGATACACCTGTCCCCGTTGGTCGTGTCGCGTGCGTTTCGCGAGACTTGTGTGTGTGTGTGTGTGCGTGTGCGTGCGTGCGCGCGCGCGTAAAAACGAATAATAAACGCGCGCTGCGATATGGGGTCCCTCGCACGTGCGCACACCTAACCTAAAAACGGCTGCGCGTCTCCCCCATTAATATTGACATTAGCTATCGCGTGCAACTGAAAATCGAGGACGTGTCGGCTCATGTGCAGCTGACGCGTATGCGAAATATATTTCGTCGGCCGGAAGTGTTCTTTCTTCACACCGTGAACCTCCGGAACAAGCATCGACGATCTTTCCGCGACCCCGTATCCCGTAGCGAATTGAAAATTCTTCGTAGTCGTACCCTTTTTAAGAGCACAAGATTAACGTTGAAAATTCTTGAAGTAATTTTTCAAAGTTAAAGGCACAGAGGCAAATGGAATTGGAACGGTATGAAGTAATAATTATTCTCCGCGAATTTCTGTATTATTACAGGTTGGTAATACGTTTACACCTGTTTTGGGAACTATACTATATTCTTCCCCGTTTCTCGCGTATCCTGAGTCATACACTAGAATAGGCATTTCATAACATCGTTATCGTAGTATTGTCACGTAAATGCTCACCATAGATTTTATTGTTTACCACTCTAAGCGCGCGTAATTGTGCACTACGAGACAGACCGTAAAAGTATGAGATTCCATTGACTACGCAACGGATAACGTCGATTCACGCTCCATTCGCAATACGGATACGAAAACCGTATGTATATATTCGGCTATCCTTGTCGCGGGCGCTGATACCGCTTCAACCGGAACCGTTCGTGTCATGTACTCGGAGTAAAAGCTACTCGATCAATTTTATTCAAACGATCCAGCATGATTCGGCATGATAAATTAAATTATACCGATTTCGGAATTTCGAGTGTATGTATATAGTCGTTCGATTTCTTATTTCTGACAGAATAGTATAAGTATACTTCTGCGGACGGAACACGACTTTCCAGTAATAGAAAGACTTCTATTCTATATAAAAATACGCCTTCATAAAATTAGACAATTCCTTGCGATAGAAAAATTCATGAAAAAGTGATTTGCTCACCGATCATTCCGGTAGGAATATTTTATTTTCTAAATGACACATTTTTTACACCATCGGGAAAAAGTGATTTGATCACCGATCATTCCGGTAGAAATATTTTATTTTCTAAATGAAAGATTTTGTACACCATCGGGAAAATTGATTTGGAAATGGTAGTGGGCCACAACTCTGCGTCGGTGTCCGCCGTAGAGACCGACCGCGCGAGGATCTCTGGGAGGGGGTTGGGGGGGAGGGGCAGTCAGTCATTCATGAATTGGCTCGGAACCGCTGCTCTGGCCGTTTATTTATACCGGCTGATAAATCGCTACGCGGCGACGGCGGGGCACGTAACCCGGCAACCCGCGTTTATGACGTGTGTATTCCAGTAAAAGTAGGTGTCGAGTGTATCGTTTTGTAAAACGACACCGAATGAACGGCTCCGGTCCCCACCCTTGAAAATTGGTTCAAGACCGGTGGGATAATCAAGGAAACGGATGTAACCAGAAGTCGACTGTCCTGTTTCACTTGATTCCGCCGTTAGACCTAGTGACCGTGGGTGGGAGGGATTTGTCGTATGTATTTGAATCCCCAAATCTTCATTTTTCCTTTCCATCGCGTCTCGTACATATTGTTGCTCGAATCTGTGGCAGTGATGGCGAAATGTTTGAATTGTTTGGATATATAGATTGATACCCAGAGTATCGATACTACTGGAATATATGATCACATGGAATATCGATATAACATATACATATGTATGTATATAAAATATTGTTAAATATAATATATAAAATATCGATACTAAATCGCTCATCACTAGTTCGTGGTAAATGGGGACAGTAACCGGCTGACAATGCTCGCTAACGGTTCGTCCTGACGATTTACACGGTCCGATGCTCCGTAACGAAGGTATAAATGGAATTCCGATCACACCGGAAGCGGCAGCTTCGCGCTAATACGGCAACTGTCTCCGGATCCCGGACCCTAATGTTCTTAATGAATTCTCGAGACCAGTTTTTTTCTTTTTTTTTTTCTTTAATTGGATCCCCATTTGCCCAGAACCGTCGTCGATTTATCGGAACGGAAAACTCGGAAATAAGTACTTCGAACGTTCTTTTGTCCTTCGTTCACAAAAGATTCGCAGAGATCCATCTTTAGCTGCCTCTTCCAAGGAATTCTCTGCTTCGTGAGTACCTATATACAGATCCCCGTGGTTAAACCTTCTGTAAAAAAAATTTTGTAATAAAATAACGTTTCGTAAAAATTCCACGCGGACAATAAACAATAATCGGCAAATGGAAAAAGAAGAAACATTTTTTTCTGTTCTCCAAACGGTATGCTACACAAACGATGAATGATATCTCGGTAATGGTATCACGACCGATAGCTTTTGTAGTAGTACACACACCAGAAACGTGTTCCCGCCGAGGTGAAATTAGGAAATGCCTGGTTGAAAATAGAATAAGCTTCCTGGGAAACGCTAAAATATTTATTAATACTTGATGCGAGCGCGCCGTCGGCGGGATCGGGGTTATATTAGACTCTCTCCCGCGGAAGTCGGATCGGGTATTCCGTATACGCTTGCGAGTCCCCGATTCTGTTTTTTTTATTTGTTTATTTATTAACGGGCAACGAGCCATTTGGTATATATGTACAGGGTGGGGAATGAGATTATAAAATTATGAAGTGCAGAGAAACGAAAACGAAAGTAGTTGTCTAAAGAGTACAGTAAATCCTCGCTGAGTGTACGAAGGCTCCTCGGCACGGAACATTAAATATTTCATCAACTAATGGCCATATACAGCTGAAACAAATATCATTGGCTTCCGAATTCCAAGCTCTATCACTGTGCTAAACGTCATTGAAGGATCGGTGTTACCATCTGGGGACTTCTTGTCACTGGCGAGGAGCCTTCGAACACTCATCGAGGATTTATTGTATACTGCTCCATATTTCTTTTTTTTCTTTTCAAGTGATATTTTTCTTCTCTTTTTGTCCTAAAATATTCTAAAACTTGTTAAAAGCACGAATATGTGTCATACTCGTTAATAAACAAACAAAATTTGCATTTCCTAATTAAAGTATCATTTAGTAGGTAAAACAAAACACATATTTATAATTTGAAGACATTTTAGAATATTTTAGGACAAAAAGCATAGAAATGTGCTAATGTTGTTTCATGACGGGTACACTCGACACAAACATAGAAAGGGTGAAAGAAATTGTATTCGACGTGTGGCCACACCACGGTGTCTTCCGAGAACGACGCTGAACAGGGACTCGAAGAATTTATCGGGCAGGCATTCACGCCGATGCGCGAACTTTCAGTTTCCGGTCAAATGATCCGCGGACATCCGGCCCACCGTACGCGCCTCGCCTCTCGTCGCGCAACTCGTCGTCATTCTTTTCGTTGGGCCAGATAGGAACGGTAAAAAAAACATTCGATGTATCGATGCAACTGTCATTGACCAGTTGCTATCGATTTTAATCGATACACATCGTTAGTGAAGCATCCTCTCCAAATATCGATTGGAAAAACATCCATATTGTCGAAAATATCGATACATCATTGCCATCCTCCTCGGGGCCACGAGTTCACAATAGACAATAAAAAATTAAACATCGATGTAGTCCACACGTAACTTCGTAGGAAACACGTGTGTGTTAATTCGATTCTCGATATACGATAAACACGAAGCTCCGATCAACTTACTAGACCGGAAACGATATTTACGGGTATCCACGCCTACGCGGTACCGCGAAAAAAAAAAGTAAGCATCCCGATTGTATTTTTATTCGACCTTTTCGCCGATGCTGTGCGCACGACCACGCTCTCCACGTTTCGTACACTCGTGTCGATTAAACGACACATACATATGTAGGTCGCCTCAAAGCAACCGACCGTTTGCAAACTTTGTGAGATGCTCGGGATTGATCCATTTTCCTTAGGACCTGTTATGTTACAGCAAATGCAGCGATTGTATCGAAATTTCGATGTTTATACGAAATACCGATACTTGAATTGAAAAGTACCTATATTCGAAATATCTATACGAAATGTCGATATTTGAATTGAAAGGTATCGCTATTCAAAATATCGATACTATATCGCTCAGGAAATGTTGACATTACAGAATGATTCATCATTATCCAACTTTATACACTACATTACAAACATCGAATTCCCCCCAGAATATCATGTAATCCGGGTACAATTTTCGATACCTTTCCCCGCTCGTGTCCATGTCTACTCAGTGGTTACTACTAACCTAACTTTATAACTAAATTTTCAAGCACGTCCGTTGTTTTTTCCCACACCGGTCGAGGGCACATTACCGGTTCCGAAAGTCGAACAGAATTTAAATTTGTGTTTCCCGTGGAACACGATCGCGCCGGACTCGTTCTCGCTCTAATGGATGTTTTTAGTGATGAGTGTACCGGAAGTTGGTGGCAAGGGGTGAGCTTTTATCGAAAAGGAGACCGAAGTCATCATCTATCCGTCTCACATAGAGAGAGGGCACAGTTGCGTGGTGGCACCGCGGGGGGGGGGCGCCGCGGTGTATGTGTATAAGCTGTGAAGGATCGTAGTTCGCGCGGAGCCCGTGAGATGGATGAGAGGGGGGGCAGAATCTCCTCTCTTCACGATACGTATAACGATATCCGGATGTGGGCTGGGAAAAGCCATATGAGAAAAAAACCGTCGAGGCACAATGGAATTCAACGAGGTTGAGCATTCCGTTTCTTGTCTCCTACGATTATTTCATTAATGTGTCTTTACTTCCCCCGGGTAAATC